GACTGACGGAGCCTCTGAGTGTTTCCTCAATTGAGAAAACACAGTTTTTAGTATAGTGCCCATTTCAGTAGATAAGCGCCTGCTAATGCAGGAGACTCTAGAGACATGGGTTCCATCTCTGGGTGAAGAAGATCCCCTGGAGTAGGAAATGGCAACCTACTCCAGTATTCTTGCCTGGAAAATCCCATGGACAGAAAAGCCTGGTGGGCTACAATCCATGAGGTTGAAAAAGAGTCAGATATGACTGAGCATGAGGGGAGAAAATAATAATGATTATGATGGTATTATTATCATTAATTTATTGGCTGGGAGAGAAGGGGCATGCTGTAGCCTGTAGTGGTCAAGGAAGGGCCTGGCTTTCTAAGTTGAACTACAGGAACAAGAGGAGATTATATAATGGGACAGCAGAGATGGGGATGTGTGTGTGTGTGTGTGTGTTTGTGTGTGTGTGTGTGTACAGAGCTGCCAGCAAACCACAGCACACCTCCAGGGGACGGAGTAAACAGAAATCTCCTTCACACTCCTGCCACACACAGGTCAGCTTTCCTTTCAGGAGGCTGGTGCCAGCCTGTCCGGGGCCAGAAATATGTGCTCAGCGCCTGGAGTTCATGGCTTTCTACCCGTTAGCTTGGCCTTAGACACAAGGTCCCCAGGAGCATGATTAGTAGAACCTGCAGCCACCTTAGGGAGAATGCCCAGGGGTTCTCATGGATAAGGAACTGGGATAGGCCCTATACATTTATGTAGAGCTGCAGGAAGTCCTCAGTTGGGGAGAGAACAGCCCAGCTCTATCTGGGGAAGGATTCTCAAATTTTGCCATAGAAAAGAATCACCTAGGGGACTTCCCTGGCAGTCCAGTGGCTAAGACTCTGTGCTCCCAATGCAGGGGGCCTGGCTTTGATCCCTGGTCAGGGAGTTAGATCCCATATGCTGCAACTAAGAGTTCATATGCCGCAACTTAAGATCCCACACAGACAAATTAATGAATTAAAAAAAAAATCACCTAGGAGTTGGTGAAAAGTCCAGAACCTGGGTCTTAGCCCAGAGGTTCTGACTTCCTATACCTCAGGTGGGCCCCCTGATACAGGAATCTGCATCTTAAATAAGCATCCTACATGAGGAAGGTGACTTACATTTCAGAGGAAGGGCCCCCAGCAAGCCGGGCGTCCCATTGGTGGGGTGGGGTGGAGTGAGAGTAGATAAGGAAACTTGGCTCAACTAATCCAAGAGCCAAGGGAGGAGTCCAGAGCCACTGGCAGCCCAGTCTCCGGCTGCAGCAAGTCCCTTATCATGAGATTTGGAAAGATCCACATCTCTGTTTTCTCACGTACTTTAAAAACAATTGTGTGGCCTTTTAAGACCCTTGCCAGGCCCTGGTGGGGAGGCCTAGGCTTCGTTAGGAATGCAGCTGCATTAAGTGAAGCGCTTCTAATAGTTACTGGATAAATACCAGGGAAATCCTGTAAGGAAAAATCTACCCATCACCACACTCACATGACTGTTTGCATTTTACCTGCTGCACCCAGCCTACCCTTGTGCAAACAGATTTTTACATGCCTGTAGCCAAAGAGCAAGTGCGTACTCCTTAATTCCCTTCCATACTCCCCATTGATTTTCTTCCCGCTCCGTCCTACCAGCTGTTCTCCAAGGGTATGGATACTGCCAGCATCTCAGAGAATGTCACAGACTCAGGGACCCTATGAAACTCTAATCCCAACCCCTTTGAGACCTCTTCACAGATCAGTTTCCTCCGGTCTACAGCAATGTTAGGAGGAGGAACTGGAGCAGGAAGTGCTCAGAGCTGGACATGCCCTGATAATAATAAACCACACAGGAGTTGACAGATTTGTTCTATAAAGGGCCAGCTAGTAAATACTTTTGGCTTTGTGAGCCACACTGTCTCTGCTGCAGTCACTCAATTCTGCCCTTAGTAGCAGGAAAGTAACCAGAGATGATATGCAAATAATGGGTGTGACTGGCCATGTTCTAATAAAACTTTATTTACAAAATCAGGCCATGGGCCATAATTTGCCAATCCTTGTTTTAGCGTTTTTCCTTTCAATGCTCTTCAAAGCACTGCCATATACAAAATTCAAGCAATCATTCTGTAAGGAGCCTGGACACCAGACTGCTGGACCCACTTAACAGAAGCAAAAAAACCTGAAGCCTAGAGAGTGGTTTGGCCCCCAATTATTGACAGAGGTGGACTCCAAAATAGGTCTAAGGTCTCCATCACATCCTAGAATCCTCAACACTAGTCCTTCCTGTCCCCAGCTCCAACACATGTCCTGCTTAGCAGGAAGACTTCTGCTACACCCACTGGTGTCCCGGGAAATACCCTGGAAACACTGGAGAGCCATTCTGCTGGCTGCACATTGCTTCCCACCTCTCCACGTGGTGCAAACAGGCTGAGTCAGCTGGAGACCCACCTGTGCCCTGGGGAGCAGGAGGCTCCCTGGGCTCCAGCCCTGCTGGTGGAGGCAGCAGCTGGCTGGAGGTGACAGGGCACCATGCCCACATCTCTTTACTAACCCCACTAACTGTTCAGCATAGGCAAAAGTGTTGGGGAAGTTATCTATGGCAAAAATGTAGAGAAGTATGTAAAGCAAAAATGTAGGAAGTGTGCAAGGAAGGCATTCCCCTTGGGGAAGGAGTGTGGAGGGGAGGTATTCTCAGGTAGATGCCTCTCCATCCAAATTCTCCCTTGATTACCTTCCACTTGCAGGGCTTCCCTGGTGGCTCAGATGGTAAAAAGTCCGCCTGCAATGCAGGAGACCCAGGGTTCGACCCCTGGGTCAGGAAGACCCCCTAGAGAAGGAAATGGCTACCCACTCCAGTAGTCTTGCCTGGAGAGTTCCAAGAGAAGTCTGGTGGGCTACAGTCCACGGGGTCTCAAATGAGTCGGACACGACTGAGCGACTTTCATTCATTCACACCTTCCAGAAAGTCACCTCTGCAAGCTGGAGTGTGGTCTCTGGAGCCCCACAACCTGGGTTCAAATATTGGCTCTGCCTCATGCGGGAAATTTGGGGGCAATAAAAATGTTTTAAACTGAATTGTGCTGACAATTACACAACTTGATAAGTCTATTGAAAAAAAGGAAAAATCAGTGAACCGTACAGTTAAGAAAATCCTGGCTCTGGCTTCCCTGGCTCAGTGGTGATTTGATTCCTGATCTGGGAAGATCCTACATGCGCAGAACAACTAAACCCGGGCACCAAAATTACTGAACCTGTGCTCTAGAGCCTGGGAGCTGAAACTACCAAACCCCACGCGCCTTAGAGCCATGCTCAGCAATAGGAGAAGCCACAGTAAGAAGCCCGCGCACCACCAACTACAGAGTAGTCCCCACTTGCCCCAAGCCTGAGCAGCAATGAATACCTAGCACAGCCATAAATAAATATTAAAAAACAGAAAAAAAGAAAATCCTGGCTCGATCATTTAAAGCGGTGTGCTCTCGGGCATGTTACTTAACCTCTCTGTGCCTCCATTTCCCCATCTGTCCAACAGGAATAACAGTCCCTACATCACAGGCTAGATGAGGATTAAACAAGTCAACAACAGGAGGACTTTAGAATGGTACCTTGCACCTAAGAAGAGGTCAATAAATGTTTGGGATTCAGGTGAGGAGAGGTGTTTAGGCCTTACAGAGTTGTACTTGGCAGGACACATGTATTTGCTAAGTTCCTAAGCCCTGCCTCCAAACTGCCCTGGCCCTCCTACCTTTGCTCCTGCTGTTTGCTGTGGAAATGCTGGGTGCCCTTCTCTCTCAGCTCACATGCTAGTTCCAATCAGAGGTCACCTCTCTGTTCCTTTTGCACTTACTCTTTTATAACAAAGGCCCAGAAAGGGCTAAACGGCATTTGCTCATCTCTCTTCACCAGCCAGCTGAGATCCTTGGGTCAGAGAGAGGTGATGTCTCATTTGCCCTCTCCTGTCCGGGTGTCTTGTGTCCTGATCCTGATAAGCTGGGGGCTAACCTGAATCCAAGATCAGGGGCTGAGGCTGTGACATCCTCTGGGGGTCCCCACACTGGCCATAGAGATCAGTGAAGGTAACGGGGTGACAATGAAGGCAGGTGAGCTAAAGCAGTGATGGGTGACCCTCCTTGGACCCAGAACCTCTGATCAGACACAAGAAGTGAGTTCCTGGCCTCACCCAATTAGATTCCCTCTCAGTTATAGAAGGTACAAATTGCAGAAAGATGCAGTGATAAGATGACCCACAGGCAGAGCCCAAAGGCAGGGCAGGTATGATATTTTCAAATACTGCAGACACATCAACCCGACTCAGGGGCCAAGGGCAGCTGGCAGTCAGGAGGGGCTTCATTCATAGGCACCTGAGGTTGACCTGACAAGGGCCTGTGACCCCAGGAAGAGACTGGGTGACTGGCACAGCCTGCTATCCTGCTGGCAGTAGTGGTTCTGGGCCTCCTCAGGGTAGAGGCGGGTGTGTGGGCACCCAGATAGCAGCTCCTTCTATGCCTGCAACACCAGGCCAGGTGAGGGCCGGCTGGGAACTGGGAGAGGGGGAACGGTGGAAGAGGAAAGAGTAGGGGTTGAAGGGACCATCCCCAAGTCCTCAGATCCAGGCAAGGCTTCAGACTCAATAGAAGTGCTGCGGGAAGGGTGAGGGAGGGCACCGCAAATCCCGGGAAGCCTTTCTGGCAACAATAAAGCAAACATAACTTCCTCCGAGGAGGGAAAACAAACACCTCGGGAGAGGGACAAGGATCAGATGCGTCCTCCCCCTCAAAGATCTCTGACCTTGCGGTGGGGAGGGGCCCCTCCTTCCCTTTCCCAGAGACCTCCCTTTGCCGAAGGCTCCTGCCCGGCCAGAGCACAGGTTCAAACGCGTCGCTTCCCCTCCGCGCGGGCGCGTCTCCCGCCCTCGCGGCCGCGGAACACCCAGAGCCCGGGGAGAGGGCCGCCCTCGGGGTGGGGGACCACGCGGGGGACCACGCGGGGGCCCCCGCGCCATCCCGCTCCCAGCGCACTTACCGAAGCCCCGGGTCCCCTCCTCCGGGGCCTCCTGGGTGAAGATCCAGGGGGGGTTGGTGGCGTAGAGGGAGGTGGCGGGCGGGTTGGCATGCTTCTTGCCGAAGAGTTTGCTGAAAGTGCCCTGCACCGTCGGGTTCTTTTTCATGCTGCCGCCGGCCGCGCGGGCGCCGGGGGAGGACAGTCCCTCCCTCGCCTGCCCTGCTCGGGACTGGACTCCGCGCCGTCTCCCCGGGGGCCTCTACCAGGCCATGCCCCGCGCCGTCCTCCCCGCCCGCGCACCGGGCGACAGGTGCTGGGGGCGCCGCGGCTCGCCGAGAAATGCGAACTACCTGGACAGGTAAGAGGCTGCCGCTGCGCCCCGGCCCCGGCCCCGCCCCTCGGCCGCCGCCGCCCCGCCGCCCGACTCCCCCGGCTGCATTCCTGCCGCCTCCTTCCACAACTGGCCATTGTTGGCGGGTCCCGGTGGGCCGGGGAAACTCGCCCAGCCCACGCCCAGCGCGGAGACGACCCACCCCCTCCCCGCGGTGGCCTCCCGGGCCTCCTCCTCCGCCCCCTTCCCCCGAGGAAGGGAGGGGGCAGGCCGGGTCCCCGCTTCCAAGGCGGTTCGCAACCAGGACAGTCCGGAACTTGGGGAACAACTCGAGCGTCCAGCACTGGGGCGGCGGCTGGCCGCAGCGCGCACGCCGATGGCTCCTAGAGGCCCTGGAAGAGTGGGCTGGGAATCATCCATGCCTGTAAGGAAAAGCCCATAGGAAAAAAAGGGAAAAGCGATAAATAAAAGCAATAAACTAGTGTCCCAACCTGATGACTAGGGTGGAAAATATCCTCGTTGACAAGCGCCAAAGAGAATGCAGGATGACTGAATCTTGGCGCGGTTTTGTTTTTACATCAAATTCTTTTTTTTTCTGTGAAGTTGTGAATATATATATATATATATTGATTGAAATACAGTTGAATCACAGCATTGTAGTATTTTCAGGTGTACAACATAGTGATTTAATATTTTTATAGATTGTGTACCATTTAAAGTTATAAAATATCAGCTATATTCCCCGTGATGTACAATACGTCCTCCTAGCTTATTTATTTTATCCATAGTAATTTGTGCCTCTTAATTCTCTACCCCTATTTTGTCCTTCCCTCCTTCCTTCTCCACTATTCCCCATCCCAACTATTAATAGTTTTGTTCTCTATGTCTGTGGGTCTGTTTCTGTTTTGTTACATTCATTCGCTTTATTTTTTAGATTCCACGAATAAGTGAAAACATTTAGTATTTGCTTTCTGTCTGACTTTATTTTTTTTTCATTTATTTTTATTAGTTGGAGGCTAATTTCTTTACAATATTGTAGTGGTTTTTGTCATACACTGACATGAATCAGCCATGGATTTACATGTATTTCTATCTGACTTTATATGCGTAATACTCTCTAGGTCCTTCTATGTTGTGGCAAATGATAAGTTTTCATTCTTTTTATGGCCGAGTGGTGGCTCAGTAGTGAAGAATTTGCCTACAATGCAGGAGACACAGGTTCAATCTCTGGGTCAGGGAAGATCCCCTAGAGAAGGAAATGGCAATCCACTCCAGTAGTCTTGCCTGGAAAAATCCCATGGACAGAGGAGCCTGATGGGTAACAGTCTATGGGGTCGCACAAGAGTCAGACACAACTAAGCAACTAAACAACAACAAAAGTATTCCATTGTGTGTGTAATGTATACATACTTATATGTATACTTATAAATAAAATATCTTCTTTATCCACTCATCAGTCGATAGACACTTAGGCTGTCTCCATATCTTGCCTATTGTAAATAATGCTTCTGTGAACATTGGGGTGCATATATCTTTGGAACCGTTTTTTTTTTTTTTTTTTCATTTTTTTCAGATATATACCTAAGAGTAGAATTGCTGGATCACATAGTAGTTCTATTTTTTTATTTTTTTGAGAACCTCCATACTGTTTTCCATAGTGGCTTCACCAGTTTACACTCCCACGAACAGTGTCCAAGGGTTCCCTTTCATCCTCTAAGTGAATGTAATTTTTAAAAACTTCCGGTGGTTCAGGCCCACTGAGGTTCAGTTCATTCCCCAGGGGGACGAGCTGTGCACCTTTAAGACGCTTCAGATACTATTCTAGCTTGGCCAGGGGGTGGCCTTCCACCAGGAGAGGTCCCATCAGATGAGGACCTGAGACTTTGCGTGGAAGATTGAGAGAGTCAGGCCATGGGGGCGGGGGGTTAGATTTGAATGCTTTCTGGGCACCAGGGGTGGAAGGCTAGTATGTGTGTGTGTGTGTGTGTGTGTGTGTGTGTGTGTGTGTGTGGCAGGGGACGGTAATCAGTCACAGAGTTGAAGTGCTTCCCCTGAGCTATCCCAGCAGAACCCCCGGCTGCATTTCCCCTCCTCTTTCTCCCAGACAGTTGGAATGGCACCCCTCTTTTACCACAGACCTTTCCCCTCCAAACTTTTCATTTTGAAAACATTGAAACAGTAAAATGACCACCTGCGCGCACACACACACACTTCATTTTCATTTTGCTGATGGTTCATAAGTGCGGGTATGGCACATCTCCCCACCCTGACCACTACTTCAGTATCCACTGCCTAAGATTAGGGACATTCTCCTAATGACCACAATGCAGTTATCACACACCATAAATTTAACATCGATCGATACACATTAATATCTAAAATATACTCCCTATTAAAAATTTCCCATTTATCCCTCAAGGTGTCACTTCAGTTTTTTATTTTTTTCCAACCTGCAGTTCAATCAGGATTCACACATTGTGGGACTTCCCTGGTGATCCAGTGGCTAAGACTTCCTGCTCCCAGTGCAGGGGGCCCAGATTAGATTCCTGGTCAGGGAACTTAATCCCACAAACTGCAACTAAGAGTTTGCGTGCCACAACTAAAAGGTCCCACATTCCGAAACGAAGATCCCTCATGCCGCAACTAAGACCTGGCACAGCCAAATAAATAATTTTTTTTTTAAAAAAGACTCACCCATTGCATTTGCTGGTCATACTCCTTTCATCTCGTAATTTAAGACAATCCTCTGCTTTTGTTTTTCATGACAGTGGCATTCTTGAAAAGTCCACTCCAGGGTCAAGGGACAGGATGAGAAGGGCCCTCATGGCTTGTGGCTGGGAGGTCATCATTTTCCCACCAGGAGGGGAGGGATTGAGGAACAAATCGGGGGACAGAGCATCTTTAAAGACGCTGTGTTCCCCCAAATGTTTTTGACTGGTGACACATCTGTGGTCAACCTTGTCCTACCCCACCCACTCCCAGGGCACTCCTGTTCAGAGTATGTGTGGAGGCTTCCCATGCCTGTTGCCCTGCTGAAGGTTTGAGGTAATTGTAGCTAGAAGACAATTATAGAAGTCTTATTTCTACCTTGCAGGATCTTGGGGTCTCATCAGGGAACTGGGTTTACATGATTCAAGGTGGCAGGCCACGATGACTAAGTACAGAACAGTGACTGCTGCCAGTGATACATACACAGCAGGAATTCAGAGGAGGGAAGAATAGCCTGGGCTTCCTGGAGAGGTCCAGGAAGGCTTCTTGGAAGTACTGAGGCTTGAGCTGGCCTCTGAAGGATGACAGGGATGTTGACAGAGACAGGAAGGGCATCCACACATACCCACAGGATCCGCCCCTCCACCCCCTACCTCTACATCATGGCTTCTCTCACCATCCACACGGGAAGGGCATAAGGGGACTCCTGATGCCGCCTCGTGCCCTGGACATTATCACAACCCAGTCACGTGCTCTAGACACTCAGGCACAAGATAGGGGCTTCCTTCTTGGAGACCTCCCACCTTGGGTAGCTCCTGGGCTCTTACACCCTGAACCATCCCCAGGAGAGTCACCATCCAGCAACTCCATTCATACACAACTTCCACCATATAAATAATATTCTTGTTTTTAAATATTTATTTATTTGGCTGCACCAGATCTTAGCTGTGGCATGTGAAATCTCGTTCCCTGACCAGGAATCAAACCTGAGCCCTCTGCATTGGGAGCTGAGAGTCTTAGCCACCGAACCACCAGGGAAGTTCCTATAAATAATATTCTTGCGAAGGATCCAGAGAAATCAGAGACATGGTTCCTGAGTTCAAGTTGCTTTAGTCTATTTGGGGAGACAGGGAGAGACACGTGGAGAGGTGAAGGGTGAGGAGGTAAGTGAAGAGGAGGAGACTAACAATGGGATTAACAGAGATTCAGAGGAGAAAACAGGGTGGGCTGGAGGATCTGAGGAGGGCAGGCAGGAAGAGCAAAGGCCTCTGCAAGGGCTCAGGGTGGTGAAACTAGGAACTGAGAGATGGAAGAGAGGTCACAGCAAGGTCAGCCAGGGTGTGACGGGCTTAAAAAGGCAGAAACAACCCAGATTGTCCAGTTAAAGATGACTGGTTAAATCAATGATGGCATAATCACACAATGGAATAATCATGCGACTCTAAAAATGAATGAGTCAGCCGGCTGTGTCCAGTTTTCTACCAGATAAACTGATAAACTGTTGACAAAACCATGTGTACGTGTGTGTGTGTGTGTGTGTGTGTGTGTGTGTGTGTGTGTGTGTTTTACCATTTGGGGCAGTATAGGTGGCTCAGATGGTAAAGCATCTGCCTGCCAGTGCAGGAGACCCAGGTTCGATCCCTGGGTTGGGAAGATCCCCTGGAGAAGGAAATGGCAGCCCACTCCAGCATTCTTGCCTGGAAAATCCCATGGATGGCGGAGCCTGGTAGGCTACCGTCCATGGGGTCACAAAGAGTCGGACACGACTAAGCGACTTCACTTTCACTATGTATAATCTTATCTGCTTGTATTGGCACAGAGACATTAAGGAAAGACAACCGAAGATAAAAGTGGTTACTAGGGGGACGTGGTGGGACCTGGGCAAAGAGAGTGGGAGGGAGAATTCTCACTGAATGCTGTTTTACACTTTCTAGTTTTCAAACCATGGGAAATATATTTGCTGTTAAAAAATTTAAAAATAACTTGGCAGGAGAGTTTAGTCTAGAAGCACCATGGGGCTTCCCTGGTGGCTCAGTGGTAAAGAATCTGCCCGCAAATCAGGAGACTCAGGTTTGATCCCTGGGTTGGAAAGATCCCCTGGAGAAGGAAATGGCAACCCACTCCAGTATTCTTGCCTGGGAAATCCCCCAGACAGAAGGGCCAGGCAGGCTACAGTCCATGGGGTCTCGAAAGAGTCAAACATGACTTAGTAACTGAACAATAACAATAACAAATGGACCCACCACAAACCAGCCTCTGCATCACCTGGGATCTTAGAAATATAGAATCTCTAGCTCCATTCCAGATGTTGAGCAACCTCTTGAGATGTCCATTTGTTCATCTGTAAAATAAGCTGTTAATTTAAAATCATTATGAGATTCAGTGAGCTGTTGCATTAAGGTACCCAGCAGAAGATCTGCAATATATATTTTTTGAGAGTGTAACTTAAGCAGTTTAAAAAAAAAATTTTATTGCAGTATAGTTGATTTAAAATGTTGTTAGTTTCTGCTGTACTGCAAAATGGGTCAGTTATATATCAAGACCCCCAGGTAATTCAGGAGCATGTTATAGTTTGAGAAGTTCAGGCCTAGAGTTGGTGGTTACCAGGTGACGGAGCAGGCAAGGGTAACCGGTGGTAACAGCTGTTTGTAAGGATCTTCAGCAGCTGGATGAAAGACCAGAGAGAAGGAGAAAGAGTAGGCTGAGGGACTGTGGGAGGCTGTGTAATTGATCAGTTAATTGCTTAATCATTTGGTTAATTGACCTAGGCAGGAGGGGATTTGGACTGGTGGTAGAAAAAGAAAAAGTTGTTAGTTTGTGGGACACTTCTTAGGAAGAAGAGAAGGGCGTGGTAAACAGCTTGCATATAGGGAAATAAAAACAACTCTGAGCTCGTTTCCTCATCTGTAACATGGGAGTAATAACAGTACCCTCTCTGAGGGTCATTAGGAAGATTAAATAAAATAATAGATGTGAAGTGCCAGCACAGGGCCTGGCACCCAGGGGCCATTCCTCAAGTGTTTGCTCATTTCTTCCCCTTCTGGTCCCTTTTCCTTAGGGGTTAGCCTTGGGTGGGGGTGGAGAAAAGGGGGGAACCAGGGTGACGCATGAACATCCAGAAGGGCTTGAGGCTGCAGAGACAGCAGGGCTCTCCCTGCCCTCTACCCCCATTTCACCCAGATTCCTTTTCCAAGTTGGTGCGTGGAGAGATGGGGGGCCGTTTCTGACAACTTTGGAGGCAGGCTCGGGGCTTGATTCTCTGTCCAGCTCAGCCCCTTGTTGTAGCCCCACCTCATCTAATGACGACATCTCACACCTGCTCCCCCAGGAAAAGAAACAGCCAAATAACAGACTCCCCTCCAAACAGCCAAAAGCCCAATCCTGTAATTAAATCCTGACTTGGCAGTTACTTAGTCACCTCCAAGAGCCGACTTTCCTGGCCGGTTCTGGAACGTAGGGTGGGATGGGGGCCCGGCAGGTGCAGTCTCCCCAGAGACCCAGCGGGCCTTTGTCAAAGTGGCGGTCTCCCCTCCGACAAAGCCAAACGCTCCTGGCTGGGGAAGTGCACTCCGCGTGCGGGAAGGGCAGGCTGAGAGACACCGAGAGTCACCGCATCCCCACCCCAGGTCTCGGTGGCAAGCTCCGCAAGGGCAAGAGTCAAAACTCCCATCATGGCAACTCCCATATCCACTGAGCTGCGAATCACCTCGTCCCACCGCATGCTCCAGGTGGGAGATGCCTTCTCCCATACCAGCTCCTGACACTGTTCCCAGCCTCCAGGGTGGAATGGGCTTCAGTCTCCACCCACCCCCTCTGCCAACCCCAGCCTTCCTCTGGGCTGGGCAGGTGCCAGGAAGTGTGGTCAGGCTAAGAGGAAGCCTGGCTAACGTGGACTCCTACGTCCTGAGAAGGCGGTCAAGGTCATTACCTGGTGCCTGAGAGTATGAGGATCCAAGATCCAGCCCTGAGTGGGGAGTGGTGTGTTTGAGGGTGCTGGGGAGGGACGCATTTCCCTTCGTAACCGTGGGCTCTGTGGGTGGTACCAAGGCAGAATGGGAAAGATCCTTGCTAGGAAATAGGTTTGAATCCTGACTCTGTTGTTTAGCAAGGGTGTGACCTTGGCTGAGATATCACCGCTCTGAGCCTCAGTTTGTTCATCTGTAAAACAAGGGCTATTAATGTAGGTGGTTATGAGATTCAGTGAGATAGATAAAATACCCAGCAGAGAGTCTGACTCATGGTGGGTACTTAGTACCTCTGTGCCCTCACCCCAGTTCCCTGCCTTGACTTTGGGCATGGATGTGCTGAACAGAACAACAGACAGAACGGAGGCCCTGAGAGGCTGCACGAGAGCAGTACCCATCCAACAAAGAAGGAAAATTCATTTCCTCAAGAAGGAAAATTCCACGGGGGCCCAGGAGATGGGGTGGGGTAGGTGTTTACAAGGTTAGGCTCAAAAGCCTGGCAAAAATATTCCATTGTAAAACACATCCCACCATCTGAAATCATGTGTGTATATTTAAAAAAAAAGATTGTTTAGTACAAAAACAAAAACCCAAATCTCATGTATATTGTGACTCTAGGTAGATAAGGTGTATTTGTGAATGGACAGCCAGGGGTTCGCAGGGACCAAGACCGGGGAGCTGACTGGGAGTGTGGGGGTAGCGGGGTCGGGGAGCAGGCGGGGAATGCTAGGATGACAGGTGGGGCTTTTACTTTTCAGTAATGTGCTCTGTCGGTAGATCATTTGTCTTAACTTAAAATTCTACAAATAATAAAGAATATTATTTATTTTTTAATATTGGCCGTAAGGGTTGTTAGGTAAGAGAGCTTTCTCTCGCTGTGGCTCACGGGTGCTCTAGTTGTGGTACATGAGTTTAGATGCCCCACAGCACGTGGGATCTTAGTTCCCCGACCAGGGATCGAATCTGCATTGGAAGGCAGATTTTTTTAAACCACTGGACCACCAGAGATGTCCCAAAGAACATAATTTAGCATGGAATGTATTTTTCCTTTTTTTAAAAAAGGGACACTGGATGGGGGCCAGCATGGAGATGTGGATTTCAGTGCCACTAACCTCCTGTGAGACCATGCAGGCTTCCTGAGCCTCAGTCTCTCCATCTGTAAAGTGGGATGCTCCTGCTCATGTCCGACTCTGCGACCCCATGGGCTATAGCCCGCCAGTCTGCTCTGTCCACGGGATTATCCCGATAAAAATACTGCAGTGGGTTGCCATGCCCTTCTCCAGGGGATCTTCTTGACCCAGGGATGGAAACTGCTTCTCCGGTGGCCCCTGTATTGGCAGGCAGATTCTTTACCGCTCAGTCACCTGGGAGACCCTGTGAAGTCACATGGTGCGCTCCAACACTCAGGTGTGGTTTCCCATCTGAGTAATGTGTTCGTTAGCTGGCAGAGCGGAGGCAGAACAGCAGACGAGGATCTCTGGTGCCTCCTGTGCAGGGGGCGCCCCGGGGAAAGAGAGGTGGGCACTGAATGCAGGGAGTATTTCCCCAGGGCATGGCCGTCTCCTCCGCATCAGCTCTGTGCTCTGGTTCTAGCCTTCAGGATCGGTCCCTACCCTCTAGGAATCAGCACAACCCTGCACACTTTTCACGTGTTCTGAAGACCAACACTTGAATGGGGACTTTGAGCCCTGAGTGTGTTTCCATGCACCCTCTCGTGGGTCCATCTTGTCTCTCCCTCTCTTCCTGAGACCTGAAAGTAATAGCAGCTGCATCTACCATTCACTGAGCATCTTTGCTATGTGAGGCACAGGGCCGAGTGGACTATGTGCATTAACCCAATATCATCTTCTAAAAGTGTTTTTTTTTTTTCAATAAGTTTTTGGCCAAACCAAAAGGCAAAAGGAAAGTTAAGTTCCCGAACAAGGAACAAAACCCCCCCCCCCGCAAGGGAAAGGGGGAAGCCTCCTAACCACTGGACCACCAGGGAAGTCCCAACCTACTACCAGCAAGTCAGCTCTACAAAGGAAGAGGACAATACATCCATGTTATGGATGGAGGGAAAAAGACTTCAAATGACATCTATTGTTGTTTAGTCGCTAAGTCATGTCCAACTCTTTTATGACCCCATGGGCTCTGGCTCGCCAGGCTCCTCTGTCCATGGTATTCTCCAGACAAGAATATTGAAATGGGTTGCCATTTCCTCCTCCAGGGGATCTTCCCTGACCCAAGGGTCGAACCCGAGTCTCCTGCATTGGCAGGCAGATTCTTTACCAGTGAGTCTTCAGGGAAGCCCCAAATGACACCTACTCATACCCTGTGACCAGTCGATTCTCTCTTAGGAGTAGGCCCCAAAGAAACCTTCACCCTGGTCCATAAGGGCCTGTTGATGTAATGTCATTGCAGTACTGTTTGTGGAGATGGGGAGATGGAGATACCTGGGAGGAAAAACATACAGAGCCTTTTGGAAGCAAGGAATGAGGCTCAAGCAGCAACATGGATGGATCTTAAAAACAGAAGGTAGCAATCAAAGTAAACAACAGAATGAGATCTGGAACACACAAAACCACTTATGTAAATGAACACTACCTACAAACAAAACAATATGTATTTTGAAAACACATTTGAACAAGAAGATACTTATTAAGAACATTAGAATAGCTGCCTCTGGTGGGCGTGGGTGGAGAGTGTGGTTGGAGATTGGAGATAAAGAGGGAAAATTAATATAACAAGAGAGGAAGCCTTCATGGACCAATGGTGATAAGGCACCCTGATGTGAGCTGTAGGAATAGCTCAGTCGTTTGTACTTGAAGTCCAGCAAAGGAAACTCAAGTAAGGATCAGAGAGGTTAAGTAATTTGTCCAAATCACACAGCAGACAAGGAGGAGTAGAAAGAGGATGTTCGAATAAGTAGGCTACTTGAAGCAAGATGGTAGCAGGACCCTGAAAGCCACATGTCTGCACTGTTAACAGCAAAGAGGGCAGGAGGGAGAGAGGGACAGAGGGACAGAAGACAGGTGTGTGTGGCAAGGGGTAGGGATCTCCACAAGTCAGCCCGGCGTGTCACCAGCTCTCCCCATCCTTCCCAAACACCCACTGAGTGCCGTGGGGTACAGATCACCCTCCTTACCTTCCAGGAATTATGATGAGGAATAAAATGAGCTCATGCTGGGGGTGTGGCAGAGAAGTCAGAAAGGGTGGGCTTCCAGGAGGCAGGACTGATTCAGTGCTGTCTGGGGCTTAGAAATGATAATAACTGTATAACTCAGGCCCTCCTCCCCACCCTCTCCCAAGCAAGATACCATCTGCCCAGAGCCTTGGAGATCCCAGATCAGAGGCTCCACCAGGGCAGCCCTTCTTCCCCGCTCCTCCCTGCCTGCCTCCCCTCCTGGTCGCTCCCATCTTCTCCAGAAATTAGGGGTCATTACCACTAGGGTGTGAGATCTGAGCACAGCATACAAGTCATTAACACCCCAACTCCCAGTCCGCCTGGGGGCCCCAAAGTCTACACCACACTCAACAGGCAGTGCTGACGGTGCCAGGAAGGAAACAGTCCTGCGCCCAGCCCTGGCCAGTGGGCGGAGGGCAGGAAGTCACCAGCTGTTCTGCCTCCCTCACCCTGGGCCTCCTCCTTTCCTCCCTCACTGACCCAGGGAGAAGCACAGGGCAGTCCGACATGGGGCATTTCTGATACGTTCCTGGAAGTCTGATGTTGAGGAGATCGGGCCCGAAGGAGGTGTGTTGGGGGGAGACATCTGGTTTTGAAGATGGCAAGAGGGCAGCCCATTCAGCCACCTACCCCTCAATACAGTTACCCACCCACACATAATAATAGCCAGTTTTCTTTTTGTGTTGTTTTTTTTTCGGTCACATCGTGTGTAATGTGGATCTTAGATCCCAAACCAGGGATCGAACTCATGCCCCCTGCATTGGAAGCACAGAGTTTTAACCACTAGACCAGGAAAGTCCAATAATAGCTAATATTTATTGAGTGCTTCCTCTGTGCCAGGCACTGTCCTAAGTGTGTTGCCCTACTCTATTATTAGTAGTTAGGGACCTTTAGTCCAACCATTTTACAGATGAGTAAACAGAAGTACAGACAGGTCAGTTATTTATACTCGCCCAAGGTCACACAACTAGTAAAATGGTAGAGCCAGGATTCAAGCTCATAAAGTTTGGCTTTGAGCCTGAAGTCCCATCCTCTATATAACAACCCACCATCTATCCGCATGGACCATCTTCCCATCCACTCACCCGTGGCCACCCCACCTAACCACCTGTCTACTCACTCATCCATCCATCCCTTCATCTTCTAACCCCTTGTTTGAAGAGGTTTAGGAAAGGGAACAGCAAATTCAAAGACTTAGAAGGGAGAGAGCAGGGCATGTTAAGAAAGTAGCTGCTACACAGAGTGAGGGAAAAGATAGCAAGAGATGAGACTAAGAAGGTGACCAGGGCTCAAATCAGGAGGGTCTGCTCATCCACCATCTATCGACCTACTCACATTCATCCACCTCCCACGCTGCTCTCCTACTGCTCTGTCCATTCATGTGTCCATCCATGAGTTGATGTGTCCATCCATCCATCTGCCCATCCATCCATCCATCCATCCATCCATCCATCCATCCATCCATCATCCTTCATTCCTATACTTGAGAAGGCAGACAGAGAGGAAGAAAGCAAATAGAGAGTTAGCCGGCTACATTTCTTCCATGCCAGTGATTTCTTGTGACCTTTTGGGGAGCTGGGGGGACATTAGGACTCCCCAAGGTACCTGAATAAACAGAATGATTTCCCCCACTCTCCTCTCACCCCACTACCCATAGCTCACCAGTCCTGGGCACCATGGGAAGAAGGAATCGCAGAGTGACTAGGTATTAAGGTTCGAAGAACCATCCAGACCTTGTAACTTCTGCCCCCAGCCCTGCCCCTGTATCTCCTCAGGAAGATAGAAGGAATTATGTTGTCAAAGCGGTGTCACAATGCCCCCAGCCCCATACAAGTTCTCCCTAGCTTGGTGTCCCAGACCCTCCCAAGAGTCCCTGAATACCTCTGGAGCCCTTGGCCGCCAAAAGTTCCATCTCACCACCAAGGAAGGTGCTGGTCAAGGATGTTCCAGGTGAGATGCATCATGGTGTGGGATCAGGGCAGCCCAAAGTGGCAAGAAGTTTGATTGGCAGAAAGGAGGGTGAAGGCCCCTGCCCAGCCCACCTGTGCTTCTACCAAAGGTTTAGGTGCCAGTGACTCCTGTTCCCCAGCTGTGGAGCTGTCCTAGTCTCCCCGGGTTGGGGGTGGGGTGGGCGGAGGGCAGGTGACCACCATTCAGCTCCTTTGGTCTCTGCCCCTTCACTTCCCCGAGAGGCTTCCTGGACCGTTAGTTTGCATGGCCCCACCTCCTAGGCACACTTGTGATAAGTAATAATGCTGGTCAACGTTTACTGAGAGCTAAAGACGTCCAGGCGCCTTAAGGAGAGTATCTCATTAACTCATCGTAACCCTATGAGATAGAGTTTCTGTTATCCTTCGTAGATGGGAAAACAGGCAGAGTGTATTATAAATGACTGGAGAGACTCCCCTGGTGGTCCGGTGGTTAGGACTCTGAGCTGCCACTGCAAGGTACAAGAGTTCGATCCCTGGCTGGGGGACTAAGATTCTGCACGCAGCGTGGTGTGGCCAAAAATAAATAAATAAATAACCGGAAGAGCAGGTACCCAGTGGGTGGTACAGGCTTCCTGAGGAAGCCAAGGCCCCCCCACTTGGCCTCCTCACTGACTCCCTTCAGAGTCCCCATCCCCCCACTGAAGGCAAATAAGTGCTCATAAAGCTTCGGGGGAGCATGTGTGACACCTCCATGTAACTTCTGGATGGGACTGATGATAATTACCACTTTCTTTTATAGCTCCCACGATTCATGGCACCCCCACCACAAGCTGTGCAGTACATAGCCTTATTAGCCCCATTTTGCAGATGAGGCAAGTCAAGCTCAAAGAGGTTCAGTGACTTGCCTGAGGATGCCTGACCTGTAAGGGCAGAGTCAGGTCCTGAGCTTAGACCTTCAAACTCCAAAACCCGGGCACATTTCCAGCATCAGGTGCCCTGGGAGGCTTCACCAGCTGCCTCACCCAGTGCTATTTGCATTTTGACAGGGCACAAGGCCTTCCACGAAAAAGGAAGGTGCTAATGGTGGCATGTCAGGCACAAGCTAGGCCAGCAGATGGGCAGGGGCCGGAAGAGGGGCCTGAAGTATTGGACCTCATCTCACATACGAAGTCTTCTTGCCCTACTCAGAAAGCGCCACCCTGAAGCCTCCCTCTTCCCCACTCTTGGCCTGGGTATAAGGGACAAATGTATGCATGATATATCTAAAAAGCCTGGGTGGGTCTGCCTGCGGGTGTAGGGGTTATGGAAAGAGGGCGTCAGATTCCTTCTTTTGGCTCTTAAACAAAAACCCAAGTGAAAACAGGGGAGTGCGATTCAGCAAGGAGCAAAAGGGCTGGTGGGACCTTCTCCTTGCCCTTTAAACTTCATTGCCCCCTGTGGAATGGGAGGTGTGGGAGGCTTGAGGCAGCAGAAAGCAGATAGGGGAGATGGGGGCCTTCCTTCCACCTCTAAACTCATTTTCTCGACCTCAGCATTGTTGAGCTGATGGTTCTTTGTCATGGGCGGGGCAGGGGAGGCTGGTGTCCTGTAGGATGTTTGGCAGCATCCCTGGCCTCTGGACACCAGTAGCACCTCCCAGTTGTGACCACCGAAAATGTCTCCCCGCATTGCAACATGTCCCCCTGGGGTGGGGTGGGAGAGGAAATACCCCCCACCCCCTCCGTGTGAACCACGTCTCTAAATGCACACACTGTGCAATTGACAGGGAGGACCTGAGAGGGGAGGAGATGGTTAAATGAAACCAGATGTTAACCTGGAAAGTATGCAGTCGGGCCCCACCCTCCCTCCAGAGCTGGCTGTGCTGGGCTGAGCATGGGATGGGGTGTTCTCAGCTTAGTCACCTGGAACCTGGCTGGGCCCCGGAAGGGGCGGAACAAGGCTGGGGCTGCCGGGCTTCCTCCTCCTCTTCCCATCCGCCGCCTCCTTTCTCTCTTCATCCTCCCTTGCTCCTTCCCGGGACGGTCCCTCTGCCCCAATTCCTATGTGAGCCTCATCCCTGGATGTGCTGGGGGTCCTGGGTCGCCCAAGCAGGGTCCCAAGTATAGCGGCAGCAGCAGCTGGGGCATAGCTGACGGGAGACTCAGGGTCTGGGCTGGGACGGAGCAGAAGAGGAGGATTCAGACCCTGGCTCCTGCACTAACTGGTCATTAGTTGCACAACTTCTGCAAGGTTCTTACACGCCACTCACTAGCCATGTGCACTTAGACCAAGCTTGGCTTCCTCGGAGCCTCAGTTTCTGCATTAGAAAGACAGGAGGCTCCTCTGTCCATAGGGATTCTGCAGACAAGAATACTGGAGTGGGTTGCCATGCCCTCCTCCAGGGGATCTTTCCAACCCAGGGATTGAACCCACGGCTCCTGCATTGCAGGTGGATTCTTTATCATCTGAGCCACCAGGGAAACCAGAAAGATGGGAATAACATCTCACAATGGCTCTTTGGGGCTTTTGCAGAGGTCAGTGGTTAGTCCCTGGCAGTTGGTAGATTCTCGATCCTATTAGGAAAGAGTGTTGCAAGCCCTTCCTCTTGCAGGAAGAACCCCCCACAACAATTCTCAAAGCACCTGCCTCTGTCACCTCTCACACCAGCTCCGGAGCCTGAGGGGCAAGGCCCAGGAGGCCTAGAGCTGCTGGGGAGCAGGGGCTGGTGGGGGGCGGGGCCTCTGCTGTTCCCTGTCTCCGCAGGCACAGGCTGAGCCTCCCCGCCATGTCAGGAGGACCAGAAGCCCGCATCCTCGGTTCAGGCTTAACACGAAAAACCCGAGCCACTTGTGTGGCCCAGGAAAGGAAAATTCTACAACTCCAAGCTATCAGCCTCAATTCTGAGGAAAAGGAAACTGTCATGGACTCTATAGCACTGATTCTCACCACCCTTGGAAGGAGCTGGCAATACCGAGAGACGATCTCGGCTCTCACAATTGGCGGGAGGTGCTAGTGGGCAGAGGCCAGGGCTGATGCTAAGCATCCCTTGACACACAGGACAGCCCCATACCAAAGATGTATCCAGCCCAAAGTGTCAACGGGGCCGAGACTGAGAAGCACTGTTCCCAGGGCTTCATATTTGTGTTCATATGAGTAGTGTCTCTGCTACTTGTACACCCAGAGCCAGGTGCGTAAAAGGAGCACAAATGGATAGAACAACTGATGTCACATCCTCAACTGCACTGAGAGATAATTCATAGAATAAACCTCAGACTCCTGGGGTGTCATCCTGTCTGTGCCAGGTCCAAGGACCCAGAACCAAAACCCAGCATTCAAAACCCTACAGTGTCCCCGCCACACCCAGGACATCAGGCCACCATCTCTGACCAGCAAGCCTGGGGCCTAGGGAGGGGTCGCCCTAGCTGCTCACCTGCCTCCCAGCACATCTAGCAAGGGGCCAGCAAGATGATGAAATGAGAACAGAAATGAATTGGCAGGCCCCATCCCCACAATGCTGTGGACACGGCATGTATCGTGGGGTGCAGCATGTGGCCCCTGGAGTCAGCCAGGCCTGGGTCCCCATCGCAGCCTAGCTCCTCACCAGTCACATGACCCTAAACTTGGGAATACCCTTCTGATTTCTGTTTTCTCAATTATAAACGGGGCTCATAACGATACCTTTCTTAAAGGGTTAATGTGAGGACTCTCAGAGGAAATCCACTGAAAGAGCTCGGGGCTGTGCTCATGGGTGGTGGTGAAAAACGACCACGGATTGTGACTCTTCATACCTCATTCCCAGTGTGAGCCCCAAGGCTGAGCCTGGACGGGTCTGGGGGGGCTGCTGACTGCTCGTGCACCCCTCTCACCAGCTTGGCTGTGTGCCAGCACTGGCTTGAGCCCCGGGGACCCAAGTGAATAGGGTGTGGTGCTGACCTCTGAGAGCAGTGTACAGGCTGCTGGGACTTTAGCCAGAGCCTGGAAGGACCACTATTTGGGATGAAGATGAGGCAAGCACAGGACCTAGGGCGCAAAATATTTGAAAGGAAACACTCACTGTGCCCTTTCATGGGTCTGTATATGAGCCCCTCCTGAAAATGCATAGCCTTGCCTCACCCTAATTCCAGCCCAGCAAAGGACCACATCCCGGAAGGAGGGCCTAAAAGCACGGAGGATGGTGAGATGGGTGCAGAGGCCACAGCATCAGAGGCTTCCTGGAGGAGGTGTCATGAGAGCTGCTGGCCTGGGAGGATAAGGGAGAATTTTGAAGGGCAAGGCTGAGGGTCATATATTGCTAGGTGGGAACCTATGGGAGCAGAGACTGCTTTGGAGAAAAGCCCTGGGCAAGTGTGAGTTGGGCAAATAGTTTATAAATTAAACACAACAGAACATACATTATGATTTGAGTATTGGGGATTTCTTTTGTCAGATGGCAGGGGTTCAACTTCCAATAGCTCTACAGCTGGGGTTTCCCTAGGGCCTCTGCAAATGGGACATGGGTGGTCTTGAGAGTTCCAGCCTGGGGGAGTGCAACAGAGCGGCCTGACACTCAGGGATCTCAGACTTTGGGTTGTTCCATCACAGCTATGAAGATTCCTAGTGAGAGGGCACCCAGGATCTGGGAGATGGTATGGGGGCTCAAAGGTGAGGAAGATGTTTCAGTCACAGGGTGGTCAAGGAGGGTAGCAACAGAGGACCAAATAAATGTCAGTGCCATGGGATAAAGGCTGCAACAGGGAACTCCTAGGAGGGTGGACCTCCATACCCAATCACCCAAGAGTGGTTATGAAGGGCAGACATTGTTGGGTGGGAGACACAATCTGTAACAATGAGAAGTGTTCTAAATTAGAACGGGGCTGGCTGGTTGGAAGGCCAATGACCCCTTACTAGAATCCAGTTCTGCTGAACCAATAGTTATTGAGCGTTCGCTCAATGTCTTGGTCTGGAGTAAGAGAAGGAGTAGGATTTTGGAGGCTATTATGTCAAGGGTAAGGGTAAGAGAGAGCTGCTCTTTAGGGGCTCAGGGCTGAATAGGAAAGAGTATCCCTGATGGGTGGGAGGGAGGGCAGGCTAGTTTTGGGGGACAGCCTGAGCAAAGGTAAAACTGCCTGAAAGGATCAGGTGTGACCAGGAAGTGACAGGCAGACTGGATAGCTGGAACTCAGGGTTTGGGGGAGCCCTGTCCTTCCAGGCTGGGGACTTGGTCTTTATTTTCTGGGCAGCAAAAGATGCTTTGAGGACAAGCCATACATTCTGGTCATTAATATATTGGGTTGGTCCAAAAGTTCGTTCAGGGTTTTCAGTAGGACATTATGGACTTTGGGGCCAACCCAATAGAGACTAATTCAGAGTGTGAAGCACAGGCTGGGAAAGCAAGAGATAAAGAAACAGGAAGAGTTGGTAGAAAGCTGGAGTCACCTTGTAGGAGAGAGGATGGAGGCCTGATGGACGGGTGGCAGAGGCCAGGGAGAGAAGGATGTGAGGGACATTGATGGACAGACCAGACGTAGGGGGAAGGGGCAGGGGTGGGGTTGAGGATGACCCCCGGGTTCCCAGCCTCTGAGCTGGTCGAGGTCTCCAAGAAGCAAACCCAGGTTTGTAGAAGCAGGTCAGGTTGTGGAGCTTGAAGGCTTTCTCCTGCCTGCAAGTGTCTAGCTCCAGGGCCAGCAGAGCTGGGCTCCAGGGGTAGCTCTGTGGGCCTCTCAGCAGTGCCCCTGCCCCCTCCCTCCTGCCCTTGGCCCTCGCGAAGTCCCCAGCTCTCCCCTTCTTTCCTTCCTCCCAGGACTCACAGAAATCCTCAATACCCAGTCATGGGCCGAAGACGCCATCAGGCCAAAAGGTGAAGGCTCCACACCGTCCCCTGTCCTTGTCGTGGAAGCAGGACCGTGAGCGGACTCTGGCAGCAGCCTATGTGCCGGTGGTGGTGGACCCCAGAGGGCAGAATCCAGACAAGCTCAGGTTCAATTTCTACACCTCCCAGTACTCCAACTCCCTGAACCCCTTCTACACCTTGCAGAAGCCCACGTGTGGCTACCTATACCGCCGGGACACCGACCACACCCGCAAGCGCTTCGACGTGCCTCCTGCCAACCTGGTCTTGTGGCGCTCGTAGGCCTGTGCCAGTCAGAAGCCCCCTACCCTGCACCCTCACCCCCATGATGCTGGGTCCCCAAGGGGAAGGGCTGCTCCCTCCCGGAGGAGCAGAAAGTGCCCAGGCTAGGACGGCTGTGCCCTGCCCACTGTCAACAATGGCAAAGGGAGGTCTCGCTTTTCAGCAGCAATTAAATTTTCTTCTTCCTTTCCCTGGCATCTGAATGGGTGGCTGTGGGTGGGTAAACTGAGGCCACAGGGATGTTGTAAGCAGGGTTATGGCCAGAGGTGCCCAAAGACGTGGAAGGACCTAATTCTCATCAGCTCACCCCAAGAGTAACCCCAACTCCCCTGCAGAGCCTGAGTCCCAAGCAAAGCCCATGCTGGCCACACCCTGTCTGTGCTCCCAGTTTGGCAACCTCTCCAATAACAAGAAAGAGCTACATCAATCGACCATGATCTGGGGTTGGAGCAGGCACTGGGGAGGGGGGATGTCCTGCAGGGAGTGAACCTGATCTCCAGGGAGCCTCCTCTCTAGCTCCTAGTTTTACATAAAACTGCCTCTTCTGACTGGTAGTGTTTTTGGTGAGGGATGGACTTCCCATCTCAAGTCTCCCTTCTGGTCCAGCAGAGCTGATGCTGACGTTAGTTAGGCTCATGGGCCGAGGTTCACAGAGAAGGAGAGTAAAAGCACAGTGCGCTTGACTCCGAGCCAGAGTGAGTCCCTGGTCACTGCCGCCCAAGGCTGGATCCAATGGCCTGCTGGCACCAGCTTCAACTGGCCTGTGGGAGCTGGCAGTGGGCAGCTCCCGACTCCACAATCAGTGACTTCACGCTGGTAGCTTGAAACCAGCACAGTGGAAGTATTTACACCCTGGAAACCAGCAAACATCTATAAAACAGGATTTCTTTTTTCCAATAGAGCCAGTAGTTAAATATTTACCAGCAGACAACTGAGTGATTCCAACTGGTTTCATTTCTAGGAATCACGTCTTATTGCAGGTAGAATGGTGGATTCAGTGGTGCATACTTCTAGGGCACAGGAGAAAAGGGGGCTGGTGTGGGATGAAGAGACAGGATGCTGGGGACCCAGACAAGCAACCAATGCACTGGCCAGATTTCCCTGGACACCTTTCTCTGAAAAGAAGATGGCAAGCCAGAGAAAAAGGATGAGAGGGTGTCCTAAATATCACCTAACAGCAAAGGATCCAGGTTTTCCTATGTATTATATTTGAAGTAGGCTGTCTTTCAAATTAGAGGCTTTCCTTGAATGTCTAGTGATCCTTGGCTGGAAGCAGGCCATTTGGCATCTGTATCAAGTCTCTCCTTCCTGGTTGCCATTGTTCATGGAGCCAGTGTGGGAAGGAGCTGGGCAGGGGTCTCACTTTTCATAGGCACACTTTGCCATAACTTCCTGTTTTCCAGAGCAGCCCTTCTCTCCTCTCGAGCTATCTCTCAAGGCTAGAGCTTGTCCAGTTCAAGTCTGAGAATAACCTTTCCCCAGGGCCAGGAGGAGAGAGATGACACCTTAAGATGTCTGTTCTGCTACCTTGAGGAGGGCCTCTGGGGAACTAGTTGCTCCTGACACAAACTTCCTACCAGTACCCCTACTTCTGCCACCTGTCCTGCACCCCAGCCCCTACGGCACCTTCTGTGCCTATCTCCTGAGCTTCCAGAGTCCTGTGGTGGGAATTTAAGATTTTATTTATTTTTAATTTATGTGGCTGCACTGGGTCTCAGCTGCTGCACTGGGGATCTCTGTGGCAGCATGCGAACTCTTAGTCGTGGCCAGTGGGATCCAGTTCCCTGACCAAGGATTGAACCCAAGCAGCCTGCACTAGGAGCATGGAGTCTTAGCTACTGGACCACCAGGGTCCAGCTCTCTAGCACTCAGGTTTCAACTAGCAGGTCTCCTGCTCTCTAGCACTCAGGTTTCAGCTTTCCACACTCTGGTAAGGCACCACTCGCCCATCTGTTTCTCTAGTCCAAAATTTTTATTAGAACCTCTCATCTGCTGTCTTCTTCCTCTTGGTCTCTCTGGATCTGCAGCTTTTAGAAATGAATTGCCATTTCAGCGTGCTTTTCAAAAGAGGCAGAGATAAATGCAAGTTTTCAGTCTACACACAACCCAAAGCTGTACCTCTCAACAGTCATCCCACAGACACTGGGTGAACACCTAGCGCATGCTGGAGCCTTGGGCTACAAAGATGAACAAGAACCATCTCTGCGCCACCAGACCCGACAGTCTCGAGGAGTGGGGGCGGGGCCCGTATCTGCACGCGCTCAACTGACGCCCCCCCACCCCGCTCCTGGAGAAGGTCGCCCCCTAGAGGTTCACCTTGGTAAAGCACCCTCCACCGACGCTTGCAGGACACCTTGACAGAAGTCAGCCAAGGTGCCAGGTCGGTCTGGGCGGGACAGTCTCTGGAGGCCCAGAACCTGTGTTCCGGGCTCTGTTGTGTTTCTGTGGAGGTGGCCAGTGGGCACACGGGCACGTTGGAGCGAGTCAGTCGGGACTGGGGTTGCCACCCCTCCCATCCCTTCCGGGCATGGCTTCTGCCTCTACACCCCTGCCCGCCATGCTCCCGCTCCTTGGCATCATTCAGCCCCGTGGGTCCTCTCACTCTGGTGTGGCATCTGTCCTGGGAAGGAGTCCTGCAGACAGAGCAGCCAGGGGAGGCCACGGTCCTCTCACGCGGCCACAGCATGAGCCTTCCGCTCAGACCCTCGGTACTCCTCCCACGAGTCCGTCTCCTCCTCTCATGTATTCATCCCTTCCTGGATGCCTCGCTATGGAGCCCCGTCTCCCTGACTTGGCACCTGTGTCTCTGGAGGAGGGATGGGGAGCAGGACTGCTAGAGCCCCTGCGAGAGAGAGGCTGGCCTCTGGGGCTGGGCAGCAGTGGGTTCCATCGCACCTTGGGCTGGAATGAGGTGTGGGCCCCACAGCCAGCGGGAGCGAGCTCCCTGTTGGGGGATTGCTCAGACAGGGGCCACAGGGAAGGCGCTAGACTCAGGGGCTTATATATCCTCGAGATTCATCCAGCCTTTCCCCCAGAGACTTATTTTCGTCCCCAGCTGTGTGGCTTGTGGGAATCTTAGTTTCCTGACCAGGGGAAAGGCTGGCGTGCTGCAGTCCATGGGGTCACAAAGAGTCGGATAGGACTGAGCGACTGAACTGAACTGACCAGAGGTTGAACCCTGGGCTTTTGGCAGTGAAAGTGTGGAGTCCTAACCACTGGACTACCAGAAAGTTCCCTTTCCCAGCGATTTGACGACTTAGCCTAAAAGCAAGAATTTAACATGGAAAAACTTTGGTACATCACCACTTAAAAATTTTGTGAACCTGAGAATGTGATTTTTCTGCCCCCAATTCCTCCCGTCTCACATGGAAATAATAGCATCCATCCCACAGGACTGTCTTGAGCCTGTTCATCAAGCTTAACCTGGTGTTTCAGACATAAAAGCTCTAGTCTGTGTTAGCTCTCTTGAATCTTTTCTTATCATCTTATCATTCATTCATTCAATAATGTTTTATTGAGCCCCTCCCAGTGAAATGTTACTCTCGGAAAGATAATTGAGGGGGGGTGTAATGAAGGAACTGTTCACAGATAAGTGGGCATGGTTAAGGGACTGATGATATGCCCAGAGGGTAGCAACAGAGGGAAGCCCTTCTTACCCCTAAGCCTGAGGGGTAGAGGGACGAGGCTTTGTCACAGGAGCCTGGAGAGAGTTCTAGCAGGAGCTGTAGCTGAAGGTCAAAGAAAGCAACCAGGACCCAAACTGTGGCCCAGTAGGGAGGGAGGGGAACAGATACCCAGCCTTGGTCTCTTTCCATCCTCTAATCTCCTAGCAGTGCTTCCCAAAGGATGAACCTAGCTTGAAGCCAGACGGTCAGGGAGCCCAGGTGATCCCGTCCACAGGTTTCATCCTCCTGGGGCTCAGAGCAGACCAACAAAGGTAGAGAAGGAGTGAGGGAGGGGCCCACAGCATAACCAACACATGACCATGTGGGATCCATGCTACTGGGTGCTGGAGTGTTGTAAAAAAATGAGGAAGACAGAGGAGCTTGCTCTGGAGAGCTTGCTGGATTCCTGAGGACAGGTTGGTAATAACCAGCTGCTTATAATTCCAGAAAGAAATGAGTGTTTTGTCTATGTTATTGTAAAAGTGTGACTGTCACAGACTGACTATAAAGTGAGCTGTCATGATTTCCACCTGTTGTTCCTGCCTTTGTACAGTTCCCTCCCTCTGAGTGTGAGTGAGACCTGTAACTTGCTTCTACTCCACAGACTATGGCAAAGGTGATGGGTGTCACTTCCTTGATGAGGTTCCATTATCTGAGATTCCATTTTAGCAGATTACAGAGAGGATCTCCTCGCTGACCTGATAAAATAAGCAGCCATGTCGAGGAGTCGATGTAACAAGGAACCGTGGGCAGCTCCTAGAAACTTGGGGCAGCTTCTCGGACCTGAGAGTGTCCTCCAGACAATATCGAGCAGAGAGCTGTGGCTTCCGTCCTACAGTCACAGGAAATGAGTTCTACCAAAGACCTGGATGAAGTAGAAGTGAATGCTTCCCCAGTCAAGCCTTCAGATGAAAATGTAGCCCAGATGGTCCCTTGATTCCAGCCTTGTGAAGTCCTGGGCAGAGGACCCCGTTGAGCCATGCCTAGACTCCTGGTCCACAGAAGCTGTGAGGTAATAAATGTGCATAGTTTGAAATTGATGACTTTGTGGGTAATTTGTTATGCAATGTAGAATACTAATAGAACACATAAGCAAGATGTCAGAGTGCTGAGGCAGGGAAGGTGAAGTCTGCAGGGATTCAGAAGGCTTCACAGAGGAGGTAGCTTTTGTGCTCACACATGAAGAGTGAGAAGGATATGAGCAGAGATGGAAAGATGAGCTGTCACCTCCTCTTTGACTTCTTCATTTCAAACCCTGGGCCCGAGAGGACTCTGCAAGGGCATGAATCCTAGCCTGGGTCCCAAGCAAAATAAAGGGAGGAGCCCTCTCTGCCCTCTCATCCCTGGAAAAAACCATGCTCCAGAGAATCTGATCAAAGCAGACAGATCCCAGTGTCCCCCTCCCTGCAGTGCACCCTAAGTTGATCGTTTTAGGTGAAAGAGAAGTAAAACAGTCCCATTTGATTCTTTTTTCAAAAATGGTTATCTTCTGTTTATGTGAGCAACATATGTACATTATGAACTGTTATTTTTAAATTTTTTATTTATTTTGGCTATGCAGCATGGCTTGCAGGATCTTAGTTCCCCGACCAGGAATTGAACCTTGGCCCTAGGCAATGAAAACACCATGTTCTAACCATTGAACTGCTGGGGAATTCCCATGAACCATTTTTTGAGATGCAGATTTTTTTTTTTTTAAGCAGAGATGAAATATCACTGGTGATCTCATAACTTAGAGATGAGCCTGTTAACATTTTGGTGGTTTCCTTCTCATCATAGGTATCATGTTCACAAGTGACAAGGACAACAGTATTGACACCACTCTCATCTCAGTCTTTCTCTCTCTCTGGGCTTCTGAAGGGGCATTCTTAACTCAGGTCCTTTGGATGAACTTTCTCAGGATAATGGGCAAAAAGAGCTGTAGAACTGGAAAGGAAACCATCTAGTGGATAATGGAAAGGAAGAAAACTGCTCCCTGGGGGAAAATCAGATCTGAGAAGGCAGACAGACCTGGTCCAGAGCACATAGCCCCCAACCCCATCCCATCCTTAGTTATATCTGGCAGATGCCTGTAGAACAGGGCCAGAGAAACAGCCCCCAGAGGCTCCTCTGTTCCCAGGGAGCTTTGTCTCATTCCATCTGAAGCATCTTGGTTAAGGAAGGAAATCTCTCCCTAGGTGCCCAGGGTTCTGCTTCAGGTGCTTCCTCTGTGCCCTGAGCTGTTGGAAGGGGATGTCCCCCTGAGAGAGGGCTTCTAGGGCTGAGCAGTATTCAGGGGCACAGACCCCATCACTCCAGGCTCCTCCCTCCACCCAGCCAGTGCTCAGAGCCCCTGGATACACAGGACTGGGCCCTGATGGCTGGAAGGCTGTGACTGCCCTTTGTTGAGCTGGGCCACCTCTCTGAGCTGACCTCTCCAGGCCCAGTTCCTCTGTCTGGTTCTTAGGGAGTAATCTTAGGATGACAGCCTGACACTCTTCCCACAAAACTGTATAAGAACTACCGACTTCCTGGTGCCTCCATCCTCAAACTGCCTTGAGGGTTCTAGTTTGCTTTTTTTTTTAAATATGTTTTTGATGTGGACCATTTTAAAAGTCTTCACTGAATTTGTTACAATATCACTTCTGTTTGATGGTTTGATTTTTTGGCCGTTGAGGCATGTGGCATCTTAGCTCTCCAACCAGGAATCAAACCCAGCAATCTAACCTGCACCCCCTTTATTGGAAGGCAGTGCAGGCAGAGAGTCTTAACCACTGGACTGTCAGGGAAGCCTCCTCTAGTTTACTTTTTTTTTAAATGCAGAGAGGAAGGTCCACATAGCAGATAAGGGAGGCAGACAGGGAAGGGACAGGACAGAGCTAGGGCTCAAGTGCACTTGAATGTTGGCCGGGGACTTCTCTGATGGCCCAGTGGCTAAGAATCCATGCTTCCCACATGCCACGACCAAGAGTTCGCATGACACAACTAAAGACCCCGCATGCTGCAACTCAGACCTGGCAGTGCAGCCAAATAAATAAATATTTAAAATAAATATTTTAAAATTATATATATATATATAAATAGTCTATGGCCAGAGAGTATCCCACTAGAGATCAGAGAAAGATGTCGCTGCATAGATGGGCTTCTATTCTCGGCCAGGGATGCTTCCAGGACCAGCAGGTAGCAGCACGTTCACAAACACACATACACACACCCACACATGCCCCAGGCCACTAGGCACACAGTGTCCCCTCCCCCTGCCTCTGAGTGGTGATGGTGTCAGGTTCAGAGTGAGATGGAGGGCTGAATTCTAGCCTCCCACGATGGGAAAGATGCAGCTTCCAGGAACATAAGTGTGGTCAAAACAGGACCAGTGTGTGTGTGTGTGTGTGTGTGTGTGTGTGAGGCTATGTGTATTTGTGCAGCTTTATGTAAAAGGGGTTTCCCTCTGACTTCTCTGGTCTCGTCTAGGGAGCCCATAAATTCCGCATCGCCCAGACCCTCTCATATGTTAACTATCCGTGATATGATTGGAACCCCTCTGTCATGATAGCCAAGTGCAGTGCACAGCCTGGGTAACTGTACACAGCAGTCCTCTCAAGGGCCCTCAACTGGCCCAGCTCTGGAAGAGAAACCAGATCTTTCTCATAGGTACCTCAATTCCGTGTCTGAGGACAGGAGCCAGAAACACTGAGCACCCATTCAAACCAGGAGAAGGGAGTGGAGGTGACAGGATCAGAATAGCTGTTGGCTGGCCACCCACTTTGTCCCCATAAGAAGGGATCAGGAGATTGCAAATTGGGTAAGAAAATCCTCTCACCTCCAGCTCAAGACTGTAATCCTGGGCCTCTGGACCCCTAAGCTTTGTTCTATTTTCGCTCCTCTTCTCAGAGTGAGCGGGTCTCCATTGGCTGCAAGGATTTAGTGGGGACTTTTAACACGCGTTCTCCGGCAGCCCTTGGATCTGGTGTAGGCTTGCACAGCGTGGCCTCCTCTCTTCTGCTTACCTCCTCTAGTCATTTCCCTGCACTTTGGGATTCGTCAGGCCCTTCCGCACTCAGATCTGGGGAACTCAGGCTCGTGAGCGAGGAGGGCCCAGTGTTAGGAAGCCCAGCCGCACTGGTGTGGGGGCCAGCGGTGACCAGCGGTGACAAGAACCAGTGCCCCTTGGGCATCAGCCTCCACGGGCCTGAACGATGGGGAACATCATGGACGGTAAGTCGGTGGAGGAGCTGAGCAGCACCGAGTGCCACCAATGGTACAAGAAGTTCATGACAGAGTGCCCCTCCGGCCAGCTCACCCTCTACGAGTTCCGCCAGTTCTTCGGCCTCAAGAATCTGAGCCCATGGGCCAGCCAGTACGTGGAGCAGATGTTTGAGACCTTTGACTTCAACAAAGTGAGCCGGGCTCTGGGTGGGGAACGCTGCAGGGATGCCCCGGGGCTAGTGACGGGGTGGGAGGGGCAGGTGTGAGGACGGCTGGGGGAATGAATGTTTATCTGAATGTCTACGTCAGGGACTCCAGTTTTCAACATCCACTGAGCACCTACTGTGTGTCAGGCACTGGAGGTTTAGAGACGAATCAGCCCTCGTCCCCGGGGGAAGAGAGAGACCCCGGTCAGTGCACTCGGAGGCTAGACGTTGGTTTCCTCTGCCTCTTCCACATGTGCAATTTACCCCAGAACAAGCGTGAACACTTAACAAGACGGTCGTCGAGCACCTACTAAAAATGCTTGATGCTGCTCCTGGTGTCTCTGCAGAGGCCCCGAGATGCTCCCAGGATGCAGAAGGCAGAGGGGCGGAAGGCAGAAAGCAGGGTGATGAGCTTCAGGCCTGCTGGTCTGGGGTGGGCAGGTCCACGTTGTTTGGGTCACCCATCCCATGATGATCTGTGGACCCTAGAACTGGGGACAGTCAGGGTTGCCTGGTCACCAGGGAACCCAGGCTACTCCAGCTCCCAAGTCCCCGGTGACCTTAGTTCATCCTAAGAGGACCTAATTATAGACGTTTCCCCAAGGGATCACCTGGACGCACCAGGAGAGGGCTTCCTGAGAAGATAGAGGGGGCACTGTGAGTTTCCGTCCCTCGTTTTCATCAGCTGGGTGGCCTCGGAGCCCATTTCTTCCCTGCTCTGCCTCAGCTTATTCACCGTCAACTGTCATGGACATCAGGAGCATCAGTTAAGATGTTTCTTGGTATTTCAGAGCAAACCTTCCATTTATTTGGAGCAATTCAGTCAAGATGTGGTGGTAGAAGAACGTAAATCCACACATCTATCTCTGCCTCCCTTCTGGCCCCGACCTGGGCTGCTGCCTCCTCCAAGGTGAGGACAGGAAGCTGCCAAGTGTCCATTGCACGCTGGGGAGACATTGCCCAGAGCTTTTCCGGCTCCCATCACTGCCCAGAGGGTCCCAACATCATTGTAGGTGGGGCTTCTAGGGAAAGCTGAGGCTCAGAGGCTATTTAAAAACTCACTAATGTTTAGGATCAAGGGGCCAAAGCAGCTTATGGGCTTTGAGTCCCAGCCTCAAGGGCAGCATTGTGGTGCCTGAGAGCTTTCCTAAAAGGAGTGCGGGGTCAGAGTACTGGAGCCCAAGGTACAGAGACCAAGAAGGGATGGCATCCTCACGCTAGACCCCTGAAATACTCCAGAAGAAAGGATCTTTCCTGAAAAGGTGTCAGAGTCCATGGTTGAGCCTCAACTCATTATACCCACATGCACTGAAGGAGCTCAGCTTCTTGCCTGTTAAGGAAACCCTTTGGATCAAGATAACCCTTTGGATCTGAGATCTAAGATGACAGTTATGACACCGGGGCGGGGCAAACCCTCAACCCCGTATTTGGCTAACCGAGTCATTCAAATGCTAGCTCTTCAATTTCTGTCAAAGTAAGCACCACTGGTGACTCAGACAGTAGAATTCGCCTGCAGTGCTGGAGACCCGGCTTCTATCAGTGGGTCAGAAAGATCCCCTGGAGAAGGGAATGGCAACCCAGTCCAGTATTTCTGCCTGGAGAATTCTATGGACAGAGGAGCCAGGCAGGCTACAGTCCATGGGGTCACAAACAGTCGGACACAACTGAGCAACTAATGCTTTCACTTTTTTTTTAAAAGCACCACTTGTATTGTCCCAAACCCGACCTCTTTAATTCTACTCACACCCCCACCTTAGGGCCTGGATTCCACCAGGCACTCTTCCTCCAGAATTCCACTCAGCTCACAGCTTCCCCAGCAGCAAGGCTCTGGTCAAATGTCTCCTTTTCACTGATACCTGCCCTGACGTCCTGGTTTCAGCCCTATTTAACTGGGACTAGTCACCACCCGGGCATTTCCTCGACCTTCCCTTTTCGCTTAGAGCATGTCTCCTCTTCGTATTACAAGATGATGTTGAATAACATTTAGCTGCTATGATTATGGTCAATCTCCCTGATGGAATGTGAGCTCCACAAAGGCAGGGATTTTTGTCTTTCTTTTTCATTGCTGTATCCTTTGCACCTAGAACAGTGCCTAGAACACAGTAGGAGCTCAATCAGTATTTTTACTTGAGTGAATGACTATATGAGGAATTATGAGTTTTATGGACTACTTATATATAATATATATTAATTTACATTCATGCTTGCTAAACTGAAGAGCATCTTTGTAACATTTGAAGTGTCTTGTACACTGAAGGCATAAATCACACATTGGACACTACTTCCACCCACTGCCACCAGCATAACGCAGTGGGGCAGGTTGGCTACAAGATGGGACCCAGGACTAGGAAGTTTTGATACAGAAGACTGGAAGTTTTGGGGAGTGCCAACAATAGCCCTTGGGCCTATTTTTGTCGATGAAGTTTTGTTAAAACACACCACATGCATTCTTTTACAGATCATCAAAACTGAAATATGTGCTATGTGGCCCTTTGTAGAAAAAGTTTGCCAGCCCTTGAATTAGAAGAGAGTTGTATCCTAGGAAACTGTACCAGGTGGGCAGGGTTTGGGGGTACGGCCATGAGTAGGGAATGTGACCAGGGCAACCCGCATATGCTTTGCTTACTTCAGAGTTTTGCCTGAACTTGATTGTGCCTGGCAATCACACAGGTGCACACAAATCAATGTAAATCTCCCATCCCTGCATCTGAGCACTGGGTGGCAATTAGGAGACTCAGTTTATTAATATTTATTTATTTATTTTTTGGCTGTGCCACGAGGCTTGTGGGATCTCAGTTCCCCGACTAGGGATTGAACCCACACTCTCCCGGCAGTGAAAGTGGCCGAGTCCTAACCACGGGACAACCAGGGAATTCTCAAGAAGACTCGGTTTCTAGGCAAGTCTTTGTCATTCACTAGCATGTGGCCTAACCTCTCTCACCTTCAACTTTTCATCTGAAAATAGAGATAGAAAAACCCAGAGGTGGTTGTGAGATTAAATGAGTACAGTGAATGAAACACACATCACCTGAAGCACAAAAAACAAGTTAGTATTGTCATAGTCTTATTACCAATCTAACCCAGACCACAATCCTGAAAAACACACACTGTCCTTCCGTTTCAGAACTCAGACCCTGAGGCTATCTGACTTGTCCAAGGCCACATCTCTCCCAAGACAAGGTTTAGGTCTTTCTGGCACAAACGCACGTGCCTTTTCATTGCCCCATTCTGGCCATTTTTTTATTACAAAAAATTCTAAAATTAAAAATTTTAATTACCAAGAAATGACAGCTCATTGTAAAAGTTTCCAACAATACAGAAAGATAAAAAATGAAAAGCAAAGTGTCCTTATCCTGCGTCCCCTTGCCGGGGGCGGGGAATCTCCACAGTGGTAAGAAAGCAAACCTCTTGCTTCTCTGAACATGGCTGCAGGGGGCCCTGGCTCTACCATGACAAAGACCCTGAGAGGAGGGTTGGTCAAGGAGTGATTGAGGGACTTCCCTGGTGGTCCAGTGCTTAAGATTCCACACTTCCACTACAGGCGCATGGATTTGATCCCTCCTTGGGGAACTAAGATCCTGCATGCCCCATGGCACAGCCAGCCATGTGTAGGAAAGCCCTTGAACACGAGGAAACACCCTGAAAATATTCGCTATGATTTTGACTTCCATCGTGGAGCTCAGAATGGTCGAGGCCTCACCTAAGGCCAGCACACGATTGGGAGCTCTTAGAGGCCTTCCTGTTCCATCTCTGCCACGTCCCTAATAACAGTACCCCAGCCTCTGCTTGCACACTTTCAGGGACAGGGAACTCATTACTGCACGAGGCTGTCCCTTCCATTGTGGGCAATTCTGTCTGTTAAAGAGTTCTTCGTACAGACCCCAAACCTGCCACTCAGTAACTTCCTGGTTCCAGAATGAGGGTTGTAAGTGGAGCAATAGGGGCTGGACTCCAGGTTCACAGGCTCTGAGTCCATTACCCCTTTCCTTTCAGCACTCAGCCTCTCTTCAAGACACAGGCTTCCCTTTCCCAGCTTCTCTTGGCTTGGGCAGAAGGTGGGCAGAGGCAGGCCTGTGTTTCCTGCTTCCCTGACCTTATTGGTAGGGCTGGCAGGGCCAGGCGGAGAGTCAGCTGCTGAACATATGGGGAGTCCTGGGGAAATATCCTGCAGGAATGTCTTGTACCGCCTTCCCCCATGGCCAATCCCTCCAAGACTCAATGAGGGCACCGCCTCCCCCAGGAAGCCTTTCTGCTGCCTTTGCCTGGCCGCTCTCCTGTCTGAGTCCATAATGTCCCGTCCAGATGTGCTGTCCCCGAACATATGTCATGATGGCATCATGATTTCCCTATAGTGATGGTAGTAATAATGTGTGTGTCAGTTGTTCAGTTGTGTCTGACTCTTTGTGAACCCATGGGGTGTAGCCCATCAAGTTCATGTGATTTTCTAGGTAAGAATACTGGAGTGGGTTGCCATTTCTTTCTCCAGGGGATCTTCCTGACCCAGGGATCAAACCTGGGTCACCTGCATTGCAGGCAGACTCTTTACCATCTGAGCTACCAGGGATGCCTTGGTAATAATAATAATAGTAATAATAGCTGGCATTTACTGAGTGCTTACTATGTGCCAGGCAGTGTTGAGTGCCTTACATACCTGCATTTATCTAAGTCCACATCAATTCCATGGAGGTGGGAGCTATTATAACTACTATGGATCAAGGGTCATGTTGAATCCTTCCTCCCAGATCCTACATATTTGAGAAGGTGGGGCAGGATTCCAGCCTGTGTCCTCAACGGTGCGCTCCCATCAGGACGGGCTTCTATCTTACTGAGTTCTGGATCCTCAGTCTATCACAGCACCTAGTCGGTGCTCAGTAAGCTTCCAAGAATAAAGGGAAGGAGAAAGGCACTCGATGCCTCCAAATCTACCTCTATTCCTTATCTAGGCGCCTTAAATCTCATTCAAATTACGCCCCTGTTCCTAGGGGGTTGTGTCTCAACTACACACATCTTGTAACAACACCCACCAAACTGGAAAAGGGCTGAAGTTTGAGGATCACAGTGACGGCTGGAACCAAAGTACCTGTGAAGTGATAGCAATAAGCCATTTACACTCCAGTGGGGGGTTGCTTTATCGGATTTGATAAACCAGTGGGGTAGGTAGGTTGGACTAAGAAGGACTATGAAGGACGTCCAGGAGACAAAATCAGGTGGGCGCCAAGGGGGCGGGGCTCAGCGTCTCCAGGGCCCCTGGGGGCTCCGGGGGCGGGGCCTGGGCGGGGCCTAGACAGACGAGCTCAGGCGGCCACGCCCCCCGCCCAGGACGGCTACATCGACTTCATGGAGTACGTGGCGGCGCTGAGCCTGGTCCTCAAGGGGAAGGTGGAACAGAAGCTGCGCTGGTACTTCAAGCTCTACGACGTGGACGGAAACGGATGCATCGACCGCGACGAGCTGCTCACCATCATCCGGGTAACTCCAGGTGCCGAGGGCCGGGCAGGGGCGGGGCCGAGCTGAGAGCCGGGGTTGGGTCTTCAGCCGTCTGGGGTCTGTCCGCGGGCTCGGAGGGGGACGGGATTGAGACTTAGGGTCCCCGCGGCGGTTCGGGCCTTCACCAGCTGCGTGACCTGGGCCAGGTTCCCCTGGGCCTCAGTTTCCTCTTCTGCACCAAGAGCTGTAGATGCGCATCCCCAGCTCCGTCTGAGGCCCCGGGACACCTTGACTTCTACTCCCCTCGCTCCCCGACTGTCCCGTCGGGAGCTTGCCGAGCTCTCTCTGCCCCATCCACCGCTGAGACGAGTTAGGACCGGTCCTCTCACTTCTCCTTCTTCCCTCCCAGGCCATCCGAGCCATTAACCCCTGCAGCGACTCGACCATGACCGCCGAGGAGTTCACAGATACAGTGTTCTCCAAGATTGACGTCAATGGGGATGGTGAGGCCGCGCTGGGGCTCCCCAGGGGAGGGTCACTGGGGGTGTCACCAGGCTCAGAGGGGGAGAGGGCAGGAGGCGAGAGGGAGGCACAAGGCCGCTGCCTCCGCCCTGGCCACGGAGCTGGCTTTGGGGGATGTCTGCGCCAGACTTTGGTCTCTGGCTCCTTGGCCGTCTCTGTTCACAGCCACTTCCTCCAGCCTTGGTTCTCTCCCCCTTACAAGACTACAGCTCTGGGCCCGGGTCAGCAGACGTGAACGCCTCCTGCCCATGATGCCCTTTCTTTCTACCCCAGGGGAACTCTCCCTAGAGGAGTTCATGGAGGGCGTCCAGAAGGACCAGATGCTCTTGGACACGCTGACCCGAAGCCTGGACCTTACCCGCATTGTGCGCAGGCTCCAGAATGGAGAGCAGGATGAGGAGGGGGCTAGCGGCAGGGAAACTGAGGCCGCGGAGGCTGATGGCTGAGCTCACTGCCTGCTCTTTCTGTACTGGGGAGGGTGTGTACGGTGGTGCCTGGTGTTTCATTGTTGTTTTAATACTAGATAGAGTCTACTGAAATTAAAGGCCCAGCCCACTTCTTAGGGGTCCATGGTGGTAGCGCGGGGGCAGGAGTCCAGAAAGGGGCTGGGGGGGTGGTGCGTTCTGGAACTCTCTGTGTGACTCAGCTGGTGGTGACTGCTTCTTGCAGCCTTCAGCATCCGTCAGGCTCCTCCCTACCCCCTTCCTGCACCTCCCCCAGCTTTGACCAGCTCTTCCACTGAGCTTCTCTGGTTCCATGCTGTTTTAGACACACAAGCTCTGAGGCAGAGGTGGGCATTCCCAGGACTCCAGTGGGACCCTGCAGATCTGGTGGCTGCAGCCTTCATCTGTACTGTCACATGCCCGCCCTGCCCCCAGCATCCCGGAGCCTACTAGAGTGGTCTGTGTTGATTCATTCCTCCCTTCAACAAGCGTTTCTCGAACAGCTACTTATGTTAATGCTAGATGTTACACGTGCAAAGAGGGCAGTTTGCATTCTCAAGAAATTCACAGCATCCTTATCAAACAATATGCCAAGAGAACTTATGATACTATAGACAGTCCGCCTTAATCCATCGGGAACCTGTATTTATTCAGAAGTGACTGCACAACGCCCTCATTCTTCCCCTGCTGGCCCCTCGGTGCTATGTGGTACCACATGGTACCCCATAGGATTGCGACTCATTGTTAATGGCAAGTGTCCCGACCATCCCTGATCTAGCCTAAATCCCTCTTACCACAGTGAGACCTGGCACCCGTTGGGAAGTGGAACACTCTCTTACAGGGGGCCCTCTCTGCATTCTTTGCACACTCCAGCTTTAGGAACACCTGACCAAGACCCTGGGGAGAGACACAGGCTGGACTAGTTGTGATCACTTTTTTCAGATATGCTCTTTCCTTCTGAGCTTTGAGTCTTCACTTCAGCTGGGTAAGGGGCAGGTTCTGGGAGCAAATGGAAATCCAAGGGGGTGGGAGGGAGCAAACAAGGGGAAAGTAGGGGTGGAGCCCCAGCCTGCAGAGAGCCCCCTGGGATGGAAGAGAGGGGGCATTTGTTCACACCTGGCCTGTCCATCACGCGGACCACTCTAGACTGGAAGTCAGCCGGTGCCAGAGCACAGACATGGAGGGAAAGTGAAGCTCAATGCCAGGGGCAAAAGGGAGTTGACATTTCTGCTGCTTCTCTTGGTGGCTGCCTCTTGGGAAATGCTGGAGGTCAGAGCTGGGAGGGTATCTGGATAGAATTGGACATTTCCCCAACCTCATTCACATACCATCTTCATGATTTGGAGCATATCTGTGTCCCAGCTGGATTACTATTAGTTTTTAATTGACTATTTTTTTAACCTTACATTTATTTTTACAGTTAACTTTATATGGATATCACGCCCATGAAATCACAGGATCTACAAATTAGTTTTATTCTTCATACTTCAACACAAAAACATATCTATTCGCATGGATTTCTTTTTTTAGTTCCTCAGTACAGCCCCCTGCAACCATAGTGACTGCCTTTTTTTTTTTTTCCTTTATTTTTTGGCTGCACTGCATGGCTTATAGGATCTTAGTTCCTGACCAGGGATTGAATCCAAGCCCTCAGCAATGAAAGTGCAGAGTCCTAACCCATGGATTGCCAGAGTGACTGCCTTTTAATCTAGTTTCTGTATGGAGGTTGCACATAGAATTGTATAACAAAAAGAATCCCATATCTAAAAAGTAATAATCTGAAAACTGCTTGTCGAGTCCAGCCTGCTCATGGTGCAGACAAAACACCTAGGTCATGGAAAAGAAATGCCTGCCATGGGTCACACAGGAGTTGGAAGCAGAGCCTGTCCTAGAACCCAGGCTGGCAGGCCCCAGTTCTCCCCAGAGATAGAAGAAAGGTTCCTCCATCCTTTAAGGAGACATACTTGGCTTGTGGACTTGGGATGGTGAATTGTGGAGGGTCCATTCTAGGGGTCAGGGTTGGAGAGCTGAGTGTGAGGGATGATGGGTAGGGAGGGTTGGAAGGGGCTGGCGGAGCAGTACCAGGGCAGAACTGAAACAGCCCCTTTAAGTACAATCTACCCCCTCCAAGGGCAGGAAGAACAGTCCTCGGGATCCTCGCGGGTTGTAATTGTTATCCATCCCTTCTCCCCAGTTCCTACCTTTCCTTCAGCGTCAACAACACCTGCCAGCCCCACCCTTCTACTAGTCAGTTTCACACTATGTGGGCATTCTCATCGCTAATTTCATCTACAGAACCCCTACCCCTAGATCTCCCTGCTTCCAACTAAGAACCAGGTAGGAATCTGTGGGAACCCCACAGTCACCTAGAAAGGCATAGCTTTCCCAGAAGCAGCTGAAGGGGGAGAGGAAGCCAAGTCCCTTCAGTACCCAATGAATCCTCCCAATGGAACAGCCCTATTGGCCATTTCAGACTAATGACCCCTGCCCTCCCCACTCAGCTCCACTCCCTGCAAGGGGATGCCGGGAAGTTCAAGCCAGGATAAGAGTGGGCATAAGCAGTTTGAACCAGGGACCCTCCCACTGCTCTGGAAACCTGCTGAGTCTGGAGTCTTGGAGGGCTCCTAGGGCCCCGGAGCCCTCAGAACATGGCACTTTTCCGCCTCTGCTGAGAGATCCAGCTACTGGGGTTCAGATCCATCTGCAGCATCTTCATCACCCACTTGTCACGACGGGCACCTTCAACGAACTCATTCAGGGATAGCTGGCCTGAGCAAGGAGTAGGAGAGACAGTCATGCCAGGTCAGGGAATGAAGAAACAGGGTGGGGATGTACACAGACGAGCCTGCGGTCTCAGGGCCTGAGCTTGGGCTTTCCTCCAGGAATCTCCTGGAACCTCCAAGGGTTTCTTCAAGGGACTTGCTTTGCAAATGAATTCAAGTTTTACTTTTGCACGTGGGACCCTTGAAATGTTCTTTTGCAAATGAATTCATTCAAGTTTTACTTTTGCACATGGGACCCTTAAAATGTTTTTGAGGGCTCTTCTGGGTGTGTTCCCAGCCAACTGCCTCTTTGCACAGCCTGGGGCTGGGGCACTGAGCTACAGTGATGAGAGTCCAAGTACGTGACCCCATTTACTCCTTTCAGTTATTCTTATTCCCACTTTCCAGGTGAGAAAACTAAGATCAGGCTGAGAGGGTAAATGAAGCATCCTGGTCTGCCTGACTCCAAAGCTCCTCTTCTTCCACGGCACTTGCCTGGCAACTCCAGTAGGAGTTTTAATCCCTCTTACAAGCCTCACGGGGCTTCCCCAGTGGCTCAGCAGTAAATAATCCACCTGCAATGCAGGAGATGCAGGAGATGCTGGTTCGACCCCTGGGTCGTGAAGATCCCCTGGAGGAGGGCATGGCAAGTCACTCTAGTATTCTTGTCTGGAGAATCTCCATGGACAGAGGAGCCTGGCGGGCTAGTCCATAGGGTTGCAAAGAGTTGGACATGACTGAAGTGACTTAGCATGCACGCACAAGCCTCACATGCTAGTGACAGCCTTGTTATTTTATGTTCTCTTCTCCACACCCATCTTACTGCCGGGAAGTGAAGGGCCTGGTCTAAGGTGACGTGGAGAAAGTGGGATGACCCAGGATGGGGAGCCCCCTGCCCCTGCCCCACCATCGTCTCTGCTCCAGTTACCATCTCCATTTTCATCCACCAGAAGGAAGATCCTGTCCACGACCTCCTCGGGCGTGAGCAGCTTGTCTTGCTGCTCAGCCTCCATCTCCACACTGCAGGCTTTCTTCAGCTTGTAGATGGACTGTGGGAGGGAAGCCAGTGACATCCCAAAGACCCTGCACACTCCGGACCCCCCCACACCCCCCGCCATGACCCACGTCCCTCGGCACCTCATCTTCAGCACTGCCCCCAGTCTGTACATCTGAGGATCACAGGACCCAGGTCCAGACTAAAAGTGACCTGTGCTAAGGCTGTTTCCTCAGGGTTTCACGGCCTAATTCCCACCGAGGAGTTCCTGGCTTCACCCACTGCCCCATTCCCACACCATTGGTGTTTCCACTGTGAGCATCGGAGCTGACACCCAAAACCTCTAACGAAGGCACAGTGATGGCCTAACCTCTACTTTACAGCAGAAGACATGGAGACTTCAGTAGATTTATGGGTGTGTGTGAAGTGTATGTGTGTGAGATAGGATGATGGGAGACACAGGTGTTTGGGCTGCAGGGATAAAGCACAGGTGTCTCCCTTCCCCTATTTCTGGCAATGAGGCAATGTTCAGAAGTGAAAAGGGGCAGAGACAGACAGACGTGAGGAGAATCCTCAGTCCTTGGCTGCGGCTTTCCTAGGACAGAGGTGTGCACTGGGGGTCCCCACACCTCACTGCCCAGCAAGCACATGGCACAAAGCAGGCACCACTACAGGCAGCCCAGAATCTCCTGGTGGATGAACTTGAGTGAACCACACAACCTCAGTGGGCCAATTTCCTTTTCTGTAAAATGGGCCAACATCTCCCTCCTTAGAGTGAAGTTCTGGAGAGTAAGAGGCTAATGAGGGTTTCATGCAGAGTCTGAGCCAGAGCACTTTTTCCCCTTGCTCATTCTTGCTAATAGTCAATCAGCTTTGTTGATCTTTCCAGAGAACCTACTTTTGCTTTCAATGACTTTCCTTGAGCGTTTGTGTTCTGTTAATTTCCATTCTTTATTAATTCTTTTCTTTTGCTTTCTTTGGGCTTACTTTTCTTTTTTTTAACTTTGTTGAGATGACTTCTTGGATTGTTGATTTTCATTTCAGTCTCTCTTATTTTCTAATATATACATTTTAAGGCTACAGATGTTTCTGCAAGCTCAGCTTTAGCTGCATTCCAAAGTTTTGTTATGTTAGTATCATTACTCAGTTCATGATATTTTGTGTGTGTGTGATACTGTTTTTTTCGATTCATGGAGTATTAGGAAGTAGTGTAATTTTCAAACAGATGAGGATTTTCTCATTCTCCTTTTGTAATTGATATCCAGCTTAATTTCTTGGTAGTTGGAAAGCACACTCTGAATGATCCCAATGCCCCTTCCCACCCCCAGGCCCAGGGGCCCCACTTCAGCATCCAGCATGCCCAGGTGCCCTCACCCCTCATCGTGACACTGACCTCCACGATGTCCAGCAGCTCCTGGCGGTCGATGCTGCCATTGCGGTCCTTGTCGTAGATCTTGAAGGTCCACTTGAGCTTGTGCTCCAGGGTGCCCCTCAGCACAAGGTTCAGAGCTGCCACATACTCCAAGAAGTCAATGGTGTTGTCCTGCATTGGGGGTGGGAGCTGTGAGGCACCCTTCAGCCCCCCACCCCATCTCTGGGAGCACTGGTGGGAACTCTATTCCAGGCCACGCTCCCTGAAACTCAGGGCTTGGCCTCCCTGGTGCATGCATGTGCCTCTGCATCTGTGCTCATGGTGTTTTCTACCCCGGGATTCATTCTCAGTCTCCATGATCACCCAGTCCCACCTGTCCTTCAAGGCTCAGCTCAATGGTCCCCTCCTCCAGGAAGCCTTCCATCTCACACCACTTCAGCCACAATGACCGCCCTCTATCTCTTCTGACACTCCCAGCTGTTGTTTCAGTAGCTAAAACAGTCAATCCTAAAGGGAATCAACCCTGAATATTCATTGGAAGGACTGATGCTGAAGCTGAAGTTCCAAGACTTTGGCCACCTAATGTGAAGAGCTGACTCACTGGAAAAGACCCTGATGCCCGAAAGATTGAAGGCAAGAGGAGAAGGGGGTGACAGAGGATAAGATGGTTGGATAGCATCGCTGACTCAATGGACATGAGTTTGAGCAAACTCTGGGAGACAGTGAGGGATAGGGAATCCTGATGGGCTACAGTCCATGGGGTTGCAAAGAGTCAGACATGACTTAGTGACTGAACAACAACAAGATGGACTGTAGCCCACCAGGCTCCTCTGTCCATGGGATTTCCCAGGCAAGAATACTAGAGTGGGTTGCCATTTCCTTCTCCAGGGGATCTTTCCGGCCCAGGGATCCAGCCCACGTCTCTACCACTGAGCCACCAGGAAAGCCCAGCACCTACCGCCTCTTCTACCCTTAACTGCCCTGTACGTGTGTCTCACTCTCGAGCAACAGTCTATCCTCCAGGAGAAAGGAGAGGGGTTTACATTGCTTCTGTTTCTCCTCCACGCCTAGTACAGTGCAACTTCTGCCCAGAGTCTCATAACTATTTACAAATTTATAAAGAAATGATTGACTTAAGTCTGAATATAAGATTAACATAGTTTTGAAAGGAGATTAGAAAGCAGGACCTCACGTATTTCAAGGTTGGGATCTCAGCTCTCAAATCCCAAATCAAAAATGGGAATCATCAACTTCCCCAGGAGCATCCGTCATTCCCATGACTCTGTAATCAGAATGGCATCACTAGCCCAGAGCCCCGCTGTCCCACTGGGTCAGGCTGCATGGGAGCCTCAACCCCTGTTCAAGGGGTGCCTGGGTGGGCAAGGTATAGACAGCAGGAGAATACAGCCCCACATGAGGGAAATAGCAAAAGCTTAAGGGAAAACCAAGAAAATAAAATGAGCCTACCTCAACACCTCCAGAGCTGAAACCAACATCCTTTATATAATTCCTCTGGTCCTCCATACTCCTCATTGTTTAAATATTTACCTAATTGAGGTCAGGCTGTAGCTATAGTTTTAGTTACTGGGTTTTTATTTAAAATTTCCCATGCCTTCAAAATTATTTAAAATAATACCATTTTCTTTTTTTGAGGAGTACTGGGCAGTCCCTCTTGTTGAACATGGTTTTGATATTTTACATTACACAATGAACATCTTGTGCATACGTATTTCTTATGTTTCTGGTAATTCCTGTAGGGCAGATTCTTAGCAGTTGCTATTTTTTCTGTTTTTCCCCCACTAGTCTTTAATGCATTATTTTTGTAGGTATATAAGTTCTATGAATTTTTAAATTGATGTGTAGTTGATGAACCATATAAGTTCTAGGTATACAATATTGTTGTTTAGTCGTTAAGTTGAATCAGACTTGGACTCTTTTTCGACTCCATGGACTCTAGCCCACCAGGTTCCTCTGTCCATGGGATTTTCCAGGGGAAAATACGGGGGAGGGTTGCCATTTCCTTCTCCCAGTGGATCTTCCCAACCCAGGAATGGAACCCGAGTCTCCTGCATTGATAGGCGGATTCTTTACCACCCAGCCACAAGGGAAGCTCCTAGATAGTGATTCATAATTTTTAAAGATTATACTCTATTTGCTGTTCTTATAAAATATTGGCTATATTCCCTGTGTTATACAATATATCCTTGTAGCTTATTTATGTAATAGTTTGTATCTCCTAATCTCCTACACCTGAATTGCCCCTACCTCCTTGTTCTACAAAATTGTATCACATGTGTAGACACATGTAGATATGTAGATACCAGTAACTCTCAACACAAAGAACCTCTCTTGTGTTACCTCTCAAAGGTCACATCTTTCTCTCAACCATAACACTTGGCAACCGCTGTTTTGTTTTCCATCAATAATATTTTTCACTCTGAAAAGAGTATAAAAATAGAATCATGTAGTGTGTAGTTTTCTTTCACTCAGCACAGTGCCCTGTAGATTCATTTCAGTCACTGTAAGCATCAACAGTTCCTTTTTTTTAAATTGCTGAATGGTTCGCCATTTTATGAATGGTCCCTAGTTTGCTTTCTGTTAGCCCATTGAAGGTTATTTGGCTTGTTTCCTGTGTTTTTTCCCCCAGCTTTATTGAGGTATAATTGCACAATAGCCTTTTAAAGAACACTGTATAAGTTGAAGGCGTACAATGTGGTAATTGGTTGTCCTTTAAAAGACTGTTTTCATTAGTAATTATTATTTGTTAGGCTTTCTAAAATTAGATCTTAGGTTTCTTTTTATTGTGCCCTGGGGCGTATGGGATCAAACCTGCACCCCCTGCATTGGGTGCATGGAGTCTTAACCACTGGATCACCAGGGAAGTCCCTTAGGTTTCTTTTTAAATAAGAATTCAGTTAGGAAATTATGCAAAGTGGGCCATTTGTTTTACATACATCATCTCCCTCAGGTCTGCTATCCCCATTTCATGGATGAGGAAACTGAGACTCAGAGGTTTAATAAGTTGCCCAAGAAATCCCCACCCAGCAAGTGGCAGAGTCTTTCAAGCTACATGCCTTCTCCAGTTCATCAGGTTGGGAGAAATTTCTTACTCCACTCAAGGTCTATTACTGTCTAAAAAATGAACCTGGTGGCTAGCACCAAGGGGAGTAAAACACACAAACCCCAAATCACCAGCAAAATTCTGCTCTTCAGATCTCTAGATTTCCTCATTCTCTGTCTAGGACTTTCTGTTCTCACAACATCCTGTCTCAACATGATGCGGTTTCCACTGTGACCCCTCTCCTCACATGCATCTCCGTGTGGAGCAACCCTTTCCTGACAAGTGGTCTCACGTGTGAGTTTACTGCAAACCCCAGGACCAGTTCTGGGACGCTCCCAGCAGGGGCTCCGCTCATCCAGTGCGCACGCACTCTCGTCAGCTTCAGTTACCCACGGAGGCTGAAGATGACGGAAACGCCTGTCTACGCAAGAGCTGGAGCAGAAGTGACAAGCGTGTGATCTGCTCTGTGGGATTACCTGCCTCGTTTCTCCCTGAATTGGCTGCATTTGGGAACCGGCCCTGACCTCCCCCCCAGAAGGTTGGGAGAAATTTCTTACTCCACTCAAGGTCTATTACTATCTAAAAAATGAACCTGGTGGCTAGCACCAAGGGGAGTAAAACACACAAACCCCAAATCACCAGCAAAATTCTGCTCTTCAGATCTCTAGATTTCCTCATTCTCTGTCTAGGACTTTCTGTTCTCACAACATCCTGTCTCAACATGATGCGGTTTCCACTGTGACCCCTCTCCTCACATGCATCTCCGTGTGGAGCAACCCTTTCCTGACAAGTGGTCTCACGTGTGAGTTTACTGCAAACCCCAGGACCAGTTCTGGGACGCTCCCAGCAGGGACTCCGCTCATCCAGTGCGCACGCACTCTCGTCAGCTTCAGTTACCCACGGAGGCTGAAGATGACGGAAACGCCTGTCTACGCAAGAGCTGGAGCAGAAGTGACAAGCGTGTGATCTGCTCTGTGGGATTACCTGCCTCGTTTCTCCCTGAATTGGCTGCATTTGGGAACCGGCCCTGACCTCCCCCCCAGCACTCGTTACATAAGGACCTTGAAGGACATTTGACCTTCATCCTTCCTTTTCCTCCATCCAGAGCATTACAGGCAAGCACCAGGGATGGTGTTACTACCTCCACCAGGAGGGAGCATGGCAGCAGAGACGAGGTGCCCCTACCTCCTTGCCACCACAAGACTCTGTTCTCACCACCACAGATCTTGACGTGTGAGCTAAATCTGAGAGCTCTTTTGATTTTATCTGCCCCAGAAATCTCAGATCAGTTGCTCAGAAATGAGACTTGCTGATTGTAAAGGTTGTTCTGAGGTGGGAAGTGGAGTCGGGCAGGAGTTTGGAGACAAAGACTAAGTGGGAAAAGAAAAGGAAGAAGGCTTAGCTTCTGACAGAGGAGCTGAAAACACCTGCTAGGAGAGCTCTTCCTTACAGCAGGAGGCCAACTAATAAATAGAGAAGGGACAGTGGAGATAGAAAATGATCAATGGATGCCAAACCTAGGGGCTGATCATTTGATGAGCAATAGGAAGTTTACTTAGTCTCGAAGTATGAATACCTCCCTATAAGATTCTTATTAATTACAAAGAAGAAATAGTCATTTTACAGTGAAATCCGGCAGACACCACATAGCTAAATGATCGAAGGGACAAACCAACATCATGTGCCCTCTGATGTCACATGCTCAGAAGCACACAGCATCTCTTCTGGGGCATTAATTTCTGCCAGAAGTGTAACCTGTGTCTCATCACAAGGCAACACAGGGTAAACCCAGATCACTGACTTGCAGTCTTCAAAAATGTCAGAGTCAAATAAGATAAAGAAAAGCTGAGACTAAAGGATCCAAAGGGCATCAGGTCCGGGGGCAGAGGGAAGGGATGGACAAATTGGGAGATTAGGATTGACATATATACAATACCATGTGTAAAAGAGATAGCTAGTGGGAACCGCTGTAAAGCATAGGAGGCTCAGCTTGGTGCTCTGTGATGACCTAGCGGGGTGGGATGGGGGTGGAGTGCAAGGGAGTTTCAAGAGGGAGGGGATATACATATAAATATGGCTGATTCACTTCATTGTACAGCAGAAACTAAGATAACATGGTAAAGCAATTATACTCCAATTTTTTAAAAAAGGCTAAGGGGGAGATAGGACATTAAATGCAATGTGTGATCAAACTTTAAAAAAAAAGGTTGTAATAGGTGTCATCAGGACAGTAAACCAAACATGAATATGGATTGTCAATTAGATAACAGAACTTATTAATGTTGAATTTCCTGAGTTTGATCATTTATTAGGTTAAGAGAATGCCCTTGGTTTTAGAAAATACATATTAGAATACTTGGGGTAAAAGGGTGTGATGTCTATATAATTTTCTCTAAAAATATATATATTTATATACATAATATACACATATATTGTGTACATGTATGTATACATGTATATATATAATACATCACACAGAATAGTAAAGCAAATGAGTCAAATGTAAACAATTGGGGAATTTTGATAAATTGTAAATGGGAATTACTTGCACTACCCTTATAATTTTTCTGTAAAGTTAAATTGATAAATTCATGGGTGTGAACCTTGCCACATACTATCTGATATATTTGTTTAATTTTCTTCTGACGTTCAATGCTTCAAAAAATCATTTCCTCTCTTAAACAGCGCAACAGACTGCCTTCTAGGCAGGAGCGCTTGCCTGGGATGCAGGACCCGAGTTTAAGATCCTGGGCAAATCAATTCACTGAATTTGGAGTAACAACCTCGGCCTGCTCCCTTCCAGGGCTGCTGCTGACTCAGAGACGTCTGTGGAAGGAGCTTTGGGAAGGCTTAAACTCAGTTGAGATCTGGAGAGTGTTCACCTCCAAGGTTTTTGTTGCCGCGATGATGCTGACCCCGCCCTACCGCCCCCTACAGGCGCAGAGGAGATGTGCACTGATAGTACAAGAGGCAGAAAGAAGAAAAGCGTTAGTCGCTCAGTCGTGTCTGACTCTGCGACCCCGGGGGCTGCAGCCCGCCAGGCTCCTCTGTCCATGAAGTTCTCCAGGCAAGAACACTGGAGTGGGTAGCCATTCCCTTCTCCTGGGGCATGGTGGGACCTAAGAAGCGTTCCCAGTGACTCACTCTGAAAAGTGAAGCTCTCCTCCTACACAGAAGTGGGGTATCCACTGCTTTTTCCAGATTATCTAGGTCCAACCCACTGGCCCCTCAATTTGAGGGAGTGAAACAGGGGTTTAAGGCAAACTTAATGGTTTAAAGGACTGTGGAGGCACTGGACTGGGTGGCCTTAAATAATGACGGGGTTTCAATGTTTAAGGGCTTTCCTGGTGGCTTACATAGTAAAGAATCTCCCTGTAAAGCAGGAGACCTAGGCTGGATCCCTGGGTCGGGAAGATCCGCTGGAAAAGGGAATGGTAACCCACTCCAGTATTCTTGCCTCGAGAATTCCATGGACAGAAGAGCCTAGTGGGCTACAGTCCATGGGGCCACAAAGAGTTGGACACGACTGAGCAACTTTCACTTTTACTTTTTTTTATGTTTAAATTCAATTCCCAGATGTACATTTATAAAATATATTATCTTCTTAGCTCCTGGTGCCAACCATGGACTTGCAGAAACTCTGTGGATGGATGATTTCATGGAATCTTCCATGGCTTGAAGAGCAGAAAGAGACTTTTGCAATAATCCTCCATCCTCAAAGTCCAGGAAGGAGCCTTCTCCAGCGTTCTGGGTGGGAACAGCTAATCTGTCTCAATTAGAAGGACCCTCAGCAAGGGGGAACTCATGGGCTGTGCCAAGATAGCTCCGCCCATTAAACCCCTTATCTTTAGAGCAAGGGGAGCCCTGATGGATGTGAAAAACCACATCCTGTCCATAAATACACATAGAGAGGACCCTGGGTCTTTCTGCAGAGCCTCGCTTCAGCTCTCAGGAAGAGGAAAAGTCAGATGAAAGTGGAGAAATGGAAAGAAAAGATGGGAAGGAAGAATGATGGGAGAGGGAGAAGAGTTTGGAGGAAGAGTGAGACAGAAAAGGTGAGAGAGGATGGAGAGGAAAGAAGAGCTGAGGCCAAGCAGGAGGACTGGCAAACGGAGCTCCCACCGAGGGTGCTCCTTTAGTCAAGGATGAGCCCTGATCATCCTCAAGGATGAGTCAAGGATCCTCCCCCTCGGGGCACCTTACCCCATTCTTGTCGAAGGCTCGGAACATGCCCTCCACGTATTGGGTGGCCTCCTCGTTGTCCGTGACCTTGAAGAAGCGCTTAAACTCGTGCAGGAAGAGCGTGCCGCTGGGACACTCCTCCAGAAACTTCTTGTACCACTCCTGCAGCTCCGCCACGTTCACCGTGCCATTCTCCTCCGCCTCCTCCCAGCTGAACTGCTGCCCCATCCTGGCCCCAGGACGGCAGGGAGCAGGGTCTCTGCCTCCTGCTGAGACGCAGCTGATCGATTCCTTTGGCGAGGGCCCTCTTCCTACCTCTCCTCTGCTCTGCCAGCCTCTTCATCATCTCCTGGCCAACCGAATGGGACGGGCAGTGGGGGGTGCTGGCAGCGAGGGGGCGGGACCAGGCCAGCTAAGTGCCTTAAGATTAGAAGATTCCCCTGGAAGGTCTGACCTCCAGTCAGCTAAGCTCCCCCAGCCTCACCCCTCCCTTCAGTCTGGTCAACCACTCAAGTAAGCTGCCCAGTAGATTCTGAAAAGGGAGAAGGGGCAGAAACAGAACTAGGCAGACGGAGGGGGAATTGGGAAGGCAGGCTGAGACCCTCCCATCGTACACATGGGCCCTGTCACTTTCGGTAGGGCACCATGCAGCTCCAGGGAGGCCCACCTTGGAGACGCAGGAGACTCTGATATCCAGGGAAGATGCACGTACACCTCCTAGCCCATAAAACAGAACGGCTGGTGAGCTGGGGCTGGCCCTCCACTTGGTCTAGTGAGAAGCAGCAGGATCTACAATGTGAAGGGCTCTGGGTGAGCAGCTCTGTACCCCCCCCACCCCATTGTCGGTCCCCAGCACCAGGGGTCCCCAACCTCTGGGATCTAATGCCCAATGATCTGAGGTGGAGCTGATGCAATAATAATAGTAATAAAGTGCACAATAAATGTAATGCGCTTGAATCATCCCCAAACCATCCCCTATTCCCAGTCTGTGGAAGAATTGCCTCCTATGAAAACAGTCCCTGGTGCCAAGCAGGCTGGGGTCTGCTGTCCAGCACGATACCTGAAGCTCCTTTACAGGCCAGACCCTTGAATCTTCACCCATGACCCAGGGGAAGCTTGGAGTCTTAACCACCCGACTACAGGGGAAGTCCGGGGAAGTCCCTTCTCTCGCCCAGAGATGACTGTTCCACCACCCTTCCAACCCTTGAAACTTCCTCTGGCTTGCACATTCAGCTGATGACCTTGTCACATCCTTCACTTCACGGAGAAGATGCATCAGACACACCTCTCTGCACCTGTGCTCACACACCTGGCCTCTCTTCCTGGTTCGATGGACACAGTCCCTTTCCCACTTCTCCACCTGTCAGCTCCTCCACTTGTTTCTAGCTGTCACCTCCCTTTGCCCAACCCAGCACTCCAAGTCCACAGCCATCCCTTTCTCTTCTGCACCCTCCACGTGTCCTGCGCTAACAGATCATTCCCATCTGCAGACGTGCCTCAACATTACCCCTACTAAAACAAAATAAGACAAAAATTCCTCCTTGACCCCATAGTCGGAGGCCACCTGTGACTTTCTGGGGCCTACTGTTGCCTTCATGGGTTATAAGATAAAGATTGATAATTAAATAGTAAATAATGATATATTAAAAGTGCTATTTTGGGACTTCCCCAGTGGTCCAGTGGTTGGGAGTCCGCCTGCCAATGCAGAGGACGCGGGTTTGATCCCTGGTCCAGGAACTAATATCCCACATGTCACGGAGCAACTAAGCCTGTGCACACAACTCCTGAGACCACGCTTCCTGCAGCCTGTGCTCTTCAACAAGAGAAGCCACCACAAATGGAGAGCAGGCCCTGCTCACCACAACTAGAAAATGCCTGCGTGGAGCAACGAAGACCCAGCACAGCCATAAAGAGAAATTTAAAACATGAAAGTGCTATTTTATCATTCATTGGTAAAAAGAGGAATATAATCCAGTTCCAGTCCAGACTGCATTATATTATTTTTGAAAGAAATTAAAACATTTAAATTAAAAATATTGTGGGCCCTAGACACGGTGCCCACTAGATCCAATAGTACTGCCAGTTACTGCTCCCCTCCGGCCGCTGTCCTCACCTTGGCCCCCTCTTACAACAAAACCCCTGATGGAAGATGTTATTTTCTGAAATTGGCACTGCAGTGGGTCTGGTCTCACGTGTTCTTTGCAACCTGGGGAAGAGCCAATTTCTCTCTCTTCAACCTGGATGGGACTTTGCAGTACTCAACGAAGAGAATGGGCTATGTGGCGCCTAAGGCTGGGTCATCAAAGGCAGTAGGGTTCATGCCTGGCTCTCCCCCAGGACTTGCCCTTGGAATGCAGCCCTGGGGAGGCCCAGGGCTTCCGGGTGACAGCCAGCGTCAGCCACCAGACTTGTGGGCGAAGGGGGCCAGTGAACCTGCTGATGCCTCCAGCCCTGGCCTTCCAGCCGCCCCAGCTGATACCACACAGGGCAGACCGTGTCCCCACAGAGCACTGACCGAACTGTCATGGAGCTGTGATGTGTTGGGCATTTTTGAAGGTAGCAACAGATAACTGAACCTGTTTCACATCCCCTTCTTTTATAATTTTGGCTGCACTGGTCTTAGTTGCAGCCCATGGACTCTTTAGCTGCAGCATGTGAAATCTAGTTCCCTGACCAGGGATTGAACCTGGGCACTGGGATCTCAGAGACTTAGCCACTGGACCACCAGGGAAGTCCCTCCTCTTCATTTCTTATTCTCTCCTCAACTTACTCCAACTGGATGCTCATCCCCGTCACTCCATAGAGAAAGCTTTATTATGACCAACTTTTCTTGCACATTCAGCACCGCCTCCCAAGTTCTTTCTTCAGACACTTTAGGGTTCAAGGACTCACATGGAGCCTGGCTCCACTCCAGCCTCACTGATTGCTCATCTCCTTTGCCAGCACCTCCTCCTTTTAAACAAATCTCTCTGCTTGGGCTTCCCAGGCTTGTCCTCAGGACTGTGCTCCTCTCTACTCATATGTGCTCCCCAGATGAGCTCATTCACCCTCAACATTACACACCATTTGTAGCTTCCAGATTCAGGACCCCAGCTACCTACCGAACATTTCCACTCAGATTTGCAGACTTACCAAGGCCAAAGCCAACATATTGATAGCCTTCCTAAATCCCTGCTCAACCCTTCTCCACCTCAGTCATGGAATCACCATTTATCCAGTTGCTTAGGCTAAAATCAAGGAGTCAGCCTGGAGTCCTCTCTTTCTCTTAGATCTCCTTTCAACCTACTAGGAGGTCTTTCTGTTAGCTCCACCTCCAAACTTATTCTTAATATAACAGTTTCCCATCCCCTCCATCCCTGCTGCTCTGTCCAGGCTACGTCCTCTCACTGGTCCACTGCAGCAGGTTCTGCCCCACCCTTCCCATCATCCCTTCCTTTTAGTTCATACCAAGCAGCCAGAGGAGTGTATTCTAAAGGGTAAATCAGATCCTATCACTGTCCTGCTCCAAACTCTCCCACGGCTTCCCACTGACACTCAGGATAAAAGCCACATTCCTTCCCATGGCCATGATCTAGTCCCACCCACTTCATGTTGCTCTGCCCTTGTCCTCAGATGCGTCACACTCTCTGGCACTTAGCATTGACTGGTCCTGCTGCTTGGACTGCCCTTCCGCAGACTCTCATTCAGCTGCCTCCTTCCTGATGGTCTCCTCTCCTCAGGGAGAACTTTCCCAATCTCATCTCAAGTAACAGTGAAAGTATCAGTCGCTCAGTCGTGTCTGCCTCTCCGCGACCCTATGGACTGTAGCCCACCAGGTTCCTCCGTCCATGGAATTCACCAGGCAAGAATACTGGAGTGAGGGATCTTCCCAACCCAGGGATGGAACCCAGGTCTCCTGCATTGCAGGCAGATTCTTTACCATCTGAGCCACTATTAGTGGCTTTCATCCCAGTAACCACTCAAGTAATTTTGTCGTTATCCTACTTTAGTTGCTGCCTAGTGCTTAACTGCATTATCTATGAAATGATCTTATCATTTTTTTCCCCATATCATGTTTTCTCCACTAGAGTCTTAAGATCCCAGAGAAGAGGGGCTTCACCATACACGGTGCAGAATTTCCAAAGCCTAGAACAGTGCTTGGCATGAACAAGGAATTCTTGGCACAAACAAGACTTGTTGAGTAACAGAGCAAAGCGCTTGGCACATGATCAGAGTTGAATTCATGTGAGATATTACTTCATACTTTTACAAGACAACTGCCCTTGATTCCTTGGAGTGTCTGGGTTAGCAGATATATGTTGATGTGAAGAGACAAGGTGATTTTGGCACTGGGAGAGGCCTCCAGTTATTTTCAACCCTGTCCCCATCTCAGAACACCTGAAGACAACATATGCTGTCACTATGGCTGTGTGAAGATGGTGTCACCCCTATCTACCTCTTCACATTTGTCGCTATTTGGCCTGAGCAATTTCATTTTCACTTTTCACTTTCATGCATTGGAGAAGGAAATGGCAACCCACTCCAGTGTTCTTGCCTGGGGAATCCCAGGGACGGGGGTGCCTGGTGGGCTGCCGTCTATGGGGTCGCACAGAGTCGGACACGACTGAAGTGACTTAGCAGCAGCAGCAGCACCAGGCAATGTTGAGGAATAAAGGATGATACCTGTGTTTAAGAGACCATATGAATGAAATAGAACTTCATTTAGCTTCTGGCTGAGGAATCTAAAATTCAATGGGCTTTTCATGTGGGTCAGTTGCCCATGACCTGCCCTTAACTACCGCTGAGCTGTTGGGATATAAATATATCGTTTTAAAGAGGCTTAGGACTCCACAGACAATGATAGCTCGCAGTGAGTAACAACAGTAAGGCTTTAAGGAGGGCAGGGTTAGGAATTGAGCAGGGATTTGGAAAGGGAACTTTGGGGATCCCAGGCACTTAGCCCTAAGCCTGGCTCCAGGGGTATGGAAATGCATGTGAGCGACAAACCAGTCTACAGAGCCCGGGACGGCCCTGGCCTGCAGCCCCACAGCTGCACCAGGCTTCCTGTGACCCAGGAGGCTCCCCCCGACTGGCGCTTACACTCTCCTGTGGCCACTGTAGACAGTCAGGACCAATGTCAGCCTTGAGACCACAGGGATCCAGCTGTGGGTTATGCTTCTGGCCTTTATTCATACACATTTACATCTTTTATTCCTTATTCCCCCCCATCTCTTTATTTCTAACCCTTGGGGGAAATTAGTATACTTTGCTAATGTGCAAGGGGACATAAATCTGGATTTTAGGTTTGAACAGTCTGCCTTTAATATGTGGGCATTCC